TGTATTAGAATTTCATCCTCGTTAAAAAATGTTTTTGTTAATTATTGCAACATTACAGATTTGTTCTTGTAAAATCCCCCTTTTTCCTCCAGCATTGCAAGTTTACGCTTGTGGAATGTAATTGAGTTTTTTTTTCCATGGAACATTACAAATGTATTCTTGTAATAATTTTCTTTTTACTTGTAATATTATAAAATATTTTATGTTATATAGGAAATAAAAAATATATCTCCTCCTGACTTGAGTCTTGGTTAAATTATATATTTTTGCACATTATAGTAAAGCTTTCTACCTTGCAAAAACTAAAGACTCTTTATTCTTGTATGAAAAAGTTGGTCAATTAGGAATGATTTTCCCTCATATTACAAATGTATTCTTGCACAATTAACTTTGTTCTTATAACATTACAACTTCATTCTGGTCATATTGTCATTTCTTTTCTCATTTTACACATTGGTTAAATTATATTTTTGCTCATAAGACCACAATTTTATTATTTTTTTTAATTAAAAATTTTTCTCTTGTAGAATTACCTGTTTTTGTCATATTACAGCTTTATTCTGAAATAAGTGAGTTTTTTTTTGTCACATGACAGCTGCAGCGTATTCTTGTAAAATTATTATCCCTTGTAATATTGAAATTATATTTTGAAAATGTTTGTTTTTTCATGTAAAGTTATAACTGTATTCTTAAAATATTCCGATGTTTTAATCTTGTAAGATCAGAATCAGATATTGCAAGTTTATTCTTTTAAAATGATATTTTCACCCTAATTTTCCGTTTTATTCTTGTCGAATTGCAAGTTTTTTCCTGACAAGATTATAGTTTTAGTATGTTTTTTTTTCCTTCTAAAATTTCTTATTTATTCTCGTAAAAAAATTGACATTCTTGTACAAAAACAATTCTCATATTTTGGCTTTTAAGACAAAAAAAAAATAATTCTATGATTTTGTTCTCATGAAATGTGAAGAAGGGCAGCATGGCGGTTGATTGGTTAGCACGTCCACCTCACAGTGCAGAGGTGCAGGGTTTGATTCCGGGTTCGGTCTTATTGTATTGTGTCTGCATGTTCTCCCCGTGCCTGCGTGGGTTTTCTCTGGGTACTCTGGTTTCCTCTCACATTCCAAAAACATGCATGGCAGGCTGATTGAACACTCTCAATTGTCCCAAGGTGTGAGTGTGAGCTGAATGGTTGTTCGTCTATGTGTGCCCTGTGACTGGCTGACAACCAGTTCAGGGTAAACCCCCGCCTACTGCCCTAAAACAGCTGGGATAGGCTCCAGCACGCCCGGGATCCTTGTGGGGATAGGCGGTTCAGAAAATGGATGGATAGAAGTGTTAAGAAAGCCAGATTGAGATTTTTAAAAATTGTTATTTTCATGATTTTCCCCACCTGTTGATAGTCTGCTTCCAGATCATTACATTTTTCTCTCCAAAGTCTTGTTTTCCTGCCATCCAGTCAGGATATTTTAGTTATTCTACCAGCCCCACCTGGGATCCAAAGACATCATGTTTGAGGGCGTTGAATATCGTGTGCAGAAATGCAGTATGAAAGAAGAGTAGCCATTTGTCCGCAGATGACTGATTTTGACAGGATTCCAGTAACATTTGGCGGATTACAGCCGATAGTGAATGTTAACTACCAGTCTCATTATGTACTTAGTGTAATGCGCCATGCTGTGACGTGACAGGTCCGCGCGGTTTAGCGGGAGGACTGTGCATCCATCTGCTTGCATGACTACAGCCTCTTTATGTCACGAGTCAGTCCAGGTGTGATGAAATGCTGCACATTGTCAAATGTATATGTTGACTTCGTTGACTTTTTATTGCTCAGGAACAGGTTTGTCTGGAGACACACCCCTAAGTTAAAATCATATTTATTTAAGGAGACGGCAGTTTTGTAATGAATTAAATATTCTGCTTAAATATTTCAATAAATGCCCTTCCGATGGACAAGTGTCACTTTTTTAAATGAGCTGTATTGTTTGTTATTGCACTGGTATGGTCTTGAACAAAGTACACTAACATCTTGTATTGACAGTTCACATGCATTTAAATCTTAAGTATCCCGAAACAGTGACAGTAGCGTTCAGAGATGAATATGCAGTGGGATCTAAAAGTCCATGCACCCTTGTTCAAATGTCAAGTTTCTGTGTCTCAAAAAATACGAGACCCAGAGAAATCATTTAAAAACTGTTTCTACCATTAATGTTACATACAACCTGTACGATTCCGTAATGTAAGGGCCGTTGTGCGGTGGTACCACCCAATGACAGCTGTGAGACAATGTGCAAAGTATCAAGCAGAGCTAAAGTGATCAGTGGTAGAATACAGTACAAAAACAGTTGTGGTCATTTTTTATTTTTATTTTTTTTGTTGTTTTTTTTTTTTTTTTGTTTTTTTGTTTTTTACCCACAAGTACAGATGACGACTGACAGAACCCTTTCTACGATGGAACTTTCCTGTACGACTGAGAGCCTCCACAAGCATTAACCAATCACATTCAAACCCATGTTAAATTTGTCAGCGCACAACTGCGGCCACAGGATGTTTGTTTTTTTTTCTGCAAGAAAACGCCCCAAAATAGCCAGGTAAATAGTAGAACTTTGGTCACATTTTAAACCTGCAATACAGTAAATGCGCAGCAACTGATTCATGAAGTAGCGACGGACCACTGCAATACAATACAATGGAGAAATTCCCAATTTACAGCAGGAAAAATTATGAAAGCGAGAAGTAGAAGAACAAAAAGTATATAAATTATAAAATATAAATATAAGCATATTCAGAATGGGTGAGTGGCTTTTGCTTGTTTAAAATAATTCTTTATTGAATATATTGTACTATCAGCCTTGTTTGTTTCTAAATACCGGAATAACATCCTCTACCTTATTTCCTGAATCCTCTTATCTGTCAAACGTTTCAACGCATTTTTCTCTACCGAGGTCGCAAATAAGCTGAAAGAAGACGTTTTCTTTCTCTTTCCATGTGTTATAACGTTCTTCTGTTTCTTCTTCACATTTATCGCATCTCTCACGTGTGTGCTTTGCCATTTGAACTAGCGTGCAGTCTACCGATGTCAAAATCTTAAATCTGGATATAATTGTTGCAAATCTTCGATTGCACTTCTCCAATCTTTATTTGTGTTCTATAAAACAAAATCCCCCCCCCCCCAAAAAAAAATCCTTTGTTGTGTTCTTCCCATTGCTTTAGCCACCTTTCTTTTAGTCTTCACATGAATATTTTCTTCATAACAGCCTAATACTAATAATAAGAACATAGATGAAGCTCTTCCAATAATGGTGACGACACGTCCTCCTCCTCCTCCTCCTCCAGAGTCCACCCCATCCTACTGGGCTCTCCTTCCTCCCGCACCTCCCTCCTCCCTAGGCCCGACACGCTGCCTCCTCCCCCGGACAGCCCACACTAAATGACGGTCGTACCATCCGGTGCTACTCCACCACTTTAGCCAGCAGCCGGACCCCCGCGCGAACAACACCCAGCCGGTAGACCGGGAGGCAGGCGACGTTCTTCCGAAGCTATCGACTCGACCCGGCTATGTTGAGCCAGCAGCGGAACGTTTAGACTGATTTCCAAGCAGCTTTTCTCTCTCCGCTTGACCGAGGATGAGCACCACCGCGGCGGCCACCGGATCGGCTTCTTGCCGCTTTGCCCACTACTTCGTCGTGTGCGGACTGGACCCTGAGACAGGCCTGGAGCCGGATGATGGAGCAGGTAGCAACATCGATACTCGACATGAAAGCATTTAAATGACAATGTGTGGGTGTTTCAGAGATGAATATGACCAATTTAGTGTGTAAAATGTCGTTGTTTACAATATGATATACACCTCCGAGCCTATTAGCCCCCATTTTGTCATCCATTATTTTTTGATAAATGCTATCCACTACTTTGAAGCACATCAAATCAAACATTAGAGCCCTGCTTTCAAATATATTTTAGCAGAACTCCCCAACAGAAAAAGCCACAGTAAAGGCACTGTGTTTGGAACATCCATTTAAAACAAAATATTGAACTACATCCTTCTCAACTTGGTTTATGTTATTATTGGCTGGAATTTTTCCATCTCCATCATAAAAAAAGCCCTAATCTCCCAAATGGTTCATTTGCCCTTTCTTTTGTCTCATCACCTGTCTGGCCGTCTCATCTGAAAACAATCCCGCCCGACTTTGTTCACCTGAATCCAGAGAACAGGGAAAGGTATTTGTGTGATTGATGTTGGTAAGATGTTCGAGGGGTTACCATGGCAATAACAATAGAGCAGGCAGGTGCTCTTGTCTTGTCGAGGGGACCAGCGGGGTTTTATTTTCAGGTGAACGAAAAAGGAATGGGAAATGTCGATTGTTTTTGTCCCTGACGTTGATACTCAACTGAGACAGAGACGAATTCTGCAAGAAAAAGTGACGTCTGGAACATCTCACGTCACTTTCTTGTTAGAAATGGGGGGAAGAAAACAATCGCCCTCTCTTTGTCTGGTATCAAAAGCGACACTAGCCAAAGGCATCATAATGCTGGTGGGGATGGAAGAAATAGCGCTGCTGGGATTGAAGCTGCCAATGATTTTAGTCATATAACTAACCGGCATGGCCTTTAATCGCTGACTCCCTACTGAGAGGGTGACCGCTCCGTGGCTCGGGTGTTTGCGAGCGCTGCCAATCTGCTTATGTAACAGCAGGCCATATCCTCGCCATTGCAGCAGAAGCGGCAGCAGGATATACTCCTTCAAGGGATTTCCTGGCTGCATGTGAACGTTGGTCCTTAAGCCGCAACGAAGCAGGAGAGTTAAAGTCTTAATGTCATACAGTATTATCTCACAAAAGCGTGTACACCCCAACTGTGAAAACTGACACTTAAATCAAAATAATGCAACGCTTACCATTGATGTAGAAACATGGCGACAAAAGTGAGTCGTGATTGGGCCTAAAGTGTCAATATTTTGTCCTGCTACAGTTATTTTCCACAGACCTTGTGCTTCCCCACCTTCCATGTGATGATACCCCAGAAATGCTCAATAGGATTTAGGTCTGAAGACAGACACTCACATTCTTTAGGAAGGCTTTGCTCATCTTGGAAATGGTTTGGGGTTGCTATCATGTTGGAATACTGTACCGCCCTGCAGCCCAGTTTCCAAAGGGAGGGGATGGTGCTCTTTTCTGTACTTTCTTGGCATCGTTTTTAGCATTAACGGCCTTGTGTTGGGTTGTTTTGAAGCAACCGTAAATTTACAATGTTATATTAGCTGAACACTGACTACATTGTAGCAAAGTCAGATTTCTTTGGTGTTGACCCATAAAAAGATTTAATAAAATGTCAACAGAAATGTGAAAACTTGTATTCATATTTAAGAGCAACAGCTTAGTGCATTTCAGAACACTTTCTTCTATTATGCAATAGCCTAACATATAAGACTGCTGTTCTCTTCCCCTCAAATAACTACATGCAGTACAGTGAACTAGTGTTGACACGGTATCAAAATTTGGACTTGGATATTATACCCACAGAAAGTACCTCGATACAAGTGGTAAAATAATGCCATGGCAAAAATCTAAAATATCAGTAAAAGCAGTTCAATAATAGCTGATAACTTCAAATTATTTTAGATGCAAGCTTTATCATGCCATGCAGTATTCTTATGTTTGATTTTATTTGTTGTTTTCCATAGTAAATAATACACTGACACTGTTATTGTTTATTAAGTGTCTTTATTTAACTTCTGACTCAGCGGTACTCCGCTACCAACAATATTTAATAATTGCCCTGTGAAATGCAACCAATCAGAACAAGATTCTTTGTCACAAAATAAATGCACTTGTTTGACTTGATGGGAAATCTTTTAAATGTGTCACATGGTAACCTGTTGTTCTTTGAATTCATGACATAATTCAAGATATTAGTCAACAATGCCATGTTGGTCGTGTTCCCTTTCGAGTGGCCTTATGACATGCCTTGTAGACAGGCTTTGGGTTGTGTGTCATCCATCTAGACAAAATAATTCCAGATGACACCACGTGTGTCTGGAAGTTCCGCAGGAGCGTGGAGGTTTTTAGACAATTCTTGTCTCTGTTTTTTCGTCATGTGCACATGCTGAAAAATTGATACTGTACTTTTAAAACATGGTAAGGTATCGATTTTAGAAAGTAGTAGTAGTAGCAAAGTAGTGCAGTTTTCTTTTTGGTACTGGTACACCATAAAACACCATTACTTATACGTTAGTCGGCCTGAACTGGATTGTTCAATTTGTTGGTTCACTCCATCAGAGTAGAAATCTACTTTATGTGCAGGATCGCGATTGAGGATTGTTTTGACATTGGTTCATGATTCTTTTCAATTAACTCAATGGATACAATACCTTTCAAGTGGCCAATGTACATGTTTTGGATGAAACAAAACTGTGAAATTTGAAATGTGACTCATCCCGTTTTATTTCTCTTATTCACTCTAGAGATGCTTTTCCATGTTAATTGGAGTCCACAATGTTAAATTCAATTGACAGGACATGTTTTGGAAAGGCACACGTCATTTTAAAGAGAGGAAGTAAATCCTTGATGTGATCAGCCAGTTAATTTTAACACAGAGCGATGGTCAGGCTAAATAGAAGCATCTGAATTAAGCTAGGTTTGCACGAGTAAGTACAAGCATGTATTTTTTAAAACAGTTATTTAATAGATACACATGCACACAGTTCTGACCTGTCACTTAAAGTGTGATATAATTGAAGAGATGTAAAATAACTCGAATAATCAACAACTGATTGATTGTCAAATTTATTGTCAACTATTTTCAGGGAGTTATTGTTTAGTTGCCATCGTTTAAGTTAGAATTGTCCAAATCCACTGATTCCAGCTTCTCACCAGCAATTACTGTATTCTTTGATTGCTTTACTCCTTCATGAAAGGAGACCGATAATCATTTGTGTTTGATCAACATAAGACATTTGCAAACTGCTTTTTCTTTAGAAAACAATGACCAAACCAGAAACTGAATCAGTTTCAAAAGGTTTGGTGGGCACAACATTAACCCTCTTGTGTGACATTGCTTCATTGTTTTTCAGTTGTATTTTTAATCAGTATAAAACACCAAACGGACAATAATACTAATTGGTTAAAAAACAGTAATGGGGTGAAAATGGTTTTGTAATACACTGCAATGCAAAATAAAATGTTATTCGATTAATCAATGGAATTGTGTATTGACAGTCCTAATATAATGACAAAGGACAATAGCTACAAGCCATGCCATTGTTGTTTTGCTTGTTAAGTAGGCTACCTTCCTACACCTAACATTTATCACAAACTACTTTTATTTTTCATACTTTTGCAAGTCCAAATTTCACGTTTCACGCCTTCAATGTACTACTATGTTGTCCCAAAATATGCTGGACAGCACTGTGGTCTACTGGCATTTAGTTTCCATTGTGGTCTTTCTGTATCAGATTCTTTTCTAGGTGGGTGTGGTATGTAGTCCCTGATGAACTGGATTTAAACTAAACTGTCCTCCAAGACACGTTTTAAATGTTTTTAATCTTTATTAGAATTTGTAAATGAACAATCAAAACTATTCAGCACTCATCCAATTGCAGTTCAATTTTGTTCTTGATATTATTTGGATTATTTAGCTTTTGCTTTGTCATTATCATTTCATTGATGGAAATCCTTAACTGAAATTATTCTACACAAACAACACTTCTCATATAATTATATGTGATGAGATGTGTTGCTCTCTAATGTGAGTCATTAGAGACTTCCCAAGCACCCAAGAACAATCTGCTGTTGTTGGTTTCTCAATGCAGTGCAGTGTGTTGTGCAGCCTAATCAAATTTCACATGACGCTGCCCGTTGGAATGCCGGCTGGCTGAGGCTTCAGCTTTGACCCATTCACGCCAGATAACGGTCATGGGGGTGCTTAAAGGAGAATGACATCAGCGGACAATGAGGACTCTCTGACCGCACATTTGGGCTTTGCATTGCTTTAATAAGTCTAAGATGAATAAATTTGTCATTTTTGAAAAAATCCAAGGTTAATCGATTTTATCCTTTCGTGAGAGGACATGATTGTGTTGTAAAAACATGACACATCCCATCAAAGTACTCACTCTCTACTTAAGTAGAAGTATAGATACTTGTGTAAAAAGACTGCTCAAGGTAGAAGTACTGATTCAACTATTTTACTTAAATTAAAAAAACAAAACAAAACAGCAACACAGTTTCTGAAGTGAAAATGTACACATAAATCTCTACTATCAATTATTGTTGAAATTGGTCACTACATCGGAACAAATGACTTTGACCTGTGAGGTTCTCCAGGGGTCAATTCTGAAACCGCTGTTGTTCAACCTGTAGATGCTTCAATTTAGTCAGCTAGTATGCAGCTTTAAATTTCCTACCACTATGCAGCTGACACTTCGACGTCCATGCCACTGAAGGCAAGTGACCACATGCTTTGTCACTGAATAAAACAAATCAGTTTGTGGATGCAGAGCAATTTTCGCCATTTTCCCCTATAACTTCCTACCTAAAATAAACCACAAAATAGTTCAAAGTAAAAAATGATCAGAAAAATAAATCCTCAAATAAAGTATAGATACCTGAAAAATCTCTAAGTACAGTACTTCCCACTACGGCCTGTAAGAAGCCTTAGAAGCAGCTGATACTGGCTGCTATTTTAATCTCCTTCACTTGATATGTGTGTCCTCATCTGCTCAAGTGCTGATGCATGGGCGAGTCTTTCTTGTGCAGCTGCTGTTCAGTCAAACCAGACGAGACTCTTAAAGCACAAGTAAATCTCTCTGATAGATGTCTATATTCTCTATTCCAATGATTACCAACCACGGTGCTGCAGCTCCTCCAATGGATGCCAAGAGAGATCACCGGGTGTGCTGTTGGAAAATATCGAATTTCACTTGTTTGGTCAGAAACTTTTATTATATGAGGTCTCTGTGATGAGTGACAAGTGAGAAGACATCATCATTCTTTCAGTATACAGTGGATATAAAAAGTCTACACACCCTAGTTCAAATGCCAGGTTTTGTGGTTTATAAAAAAAAAAAAAGACTAAAAAAAATCTTTTAAAAACTTTTCACTCTATGAATGTGATCTTTAATTTATATAGCGCAATTGGTGAATACATTTTTTTTTAAAAGGGCAGGTAAAAATAGCCAATTGAGATAAAGGGGGTGCACACCCTTATTTAACAGGAATGTGGCTGTGGGAAGAAAAAAACAAACAAACAAACAAAGAAAACTTATGTTACTATAAATTGGAATAAGTACACACTTGCCACCATTTAAAGTGGTTTTGATTAACCAGAAATAATTTTCTGATGTTCTAAGAGGCTTTTCCTGACTTTTTTTTTGCTTTCTAGTAGAAGCTTGAAGGTTTGAACACAGACTGATATTTCAAACTGTTCATAATTCCACCATGTTTCTTTTTTTGTGATAAATTTAACATATTTGCTATTTACATACTGTACAAGTGGCTTGTAAAACACTACCCTCAATAATAAGACCACTTTAGCAAAAAGCCCTGTGCTTAACTCATGGAACAATTGTGAAAAAATTATTGGATACGCTCTTATAATTTGAGAGCAGAGTCTGTGTTTCTTAAAGAATAACAACAGTGATTCTGATAAAGATGTGCGTTTGGGTATACTAGTAGGATGAGATCAGTGTATATTGAGCTGCTTGTTAAGATGTTAAGATGAGGAAACACCTTAATTCCGCCTTAACATCAACAGCAACCATTTAATTAAGCTTTCATTAGAATGCTGAAACAAACCTCCCCTCCACTCCACCTCTTGTGTCTCTCTGTCCCTCTCTCTCCCCCTCTCTCACTCTGTCACTCTCAATCCACCCCCTCTTTAAACACACGTCTCTCTTGTCTGCACGCCACCATGCAAGCTGCGTGTGTCAGGTGTGATGCATTGGCTGAAGTGAGCGTCATCTTGATGCCTGCTCTTAAAGCCATCGTGGAAATGGCTGCTATGGCGACGTGGCACCCTTTTCCAAGGTTTCATTCTACCTCTTGGCATGACACTAAATTGTCTCACTGATTAATACGCACCCACCAAGCTTCCAGTCTGGTGCTTAAAAATGGAATGACTTACCCACTCAGGAAAAACTACAACTGTGAACCCCCATTTATTCAACAGGACATTCCAGACTCAGCTGCAATAGGTGAAAATCTGCTATTTAGAGACACCTTATATATTTTATATGTATAGTTTTACGTAAACACAATCCATCCATCCATCAATTTTCAAGGCCACTTAACTTATGAGTTGTGGGGTGCTGAAGCCTATCCCATCTGACTTTGGGTGAAAGTGGACTACTTTCTGGACTATTCACTAGTCAGTTGCAGTGCACATATAGAGACGGAAATGTCACCGAGTGGCAACCGAACCGACACTGTCTGCTCAGCGACTGCACCACAACACCATCGTACATTTACATTTATTTAAAACAACAGTTTTTAAAAAAAAATCCTTAACACTTGGTCTCATTCTCACTCAGGCATATTTCCACATAAGAGGGAAAGCATGCTTGCCTTAAGCTATTTGTCACTCCCACTTGAAATTAAATAACTCACACATTAAACAGAAACAAATTCAACATTATTCAGTGTCTTGAGATACCAACTAAAATCAGTGCGCTTCAGATCCCCACTGCTAGATCGCTTCAGCATCTAGTGCCTACAACATAGGGCCACCATCAATTCACATTGCTTTCCTTGTAGAGGACGGACAAAGACTGTTAGTCCTGGTAAAACACAATCAAGCTACCGGTACTTTGCCAGATGCCATCAGAAGAAGAAGAAGGACGAACACAATGGCTGCATCCAAATTCATAGGCTACGTTCTCCGAAGGCCGTGTTTTTGGCTGCATTATTCGGCCGCATTCATGTAGGCCTAGCACTTGTTCGTTTCGTTATATGCAAACACTCAGGTACCGAAATGGTTCCTTTGCCCAGTTGGACCATTTGTATCCCTTTTCTAATCAGAAACAATGCTTAATTGTACTTATTTGAACCTTACAGGGTACATCGCAAAAAGATTTTACCTTGGCAGATAAAAATAAACCTCTCCAGTCGACTTTTTTTTTTGTGAGAGTGTAGTTAGACAACATATTGTACAACATATTGCAATGACATTTTTCAATGACTCGAGTTCCCTTTTAAGTCTGTTCCTTGATGGTCAGATTATGTGTGGCTCGTTATTGTAAATCCTTGTAGAGATTGTCAATTTATGATGTCCTCTTTCCATCTATTTCATATCAGTTGAATCCATTTTTCTCCTGACTGATTTTCAGGGGAGAGCTTTGAGCAGAGTCCAATCCACCGCTCCTTCAAATCTAGGCTTCTGGTCCACTACCCCAAGAGCACAGACAGGAACCCCTTCAATAAGGATGCGGTTAACATGGTGAGAATCTGGATTTGGTTCAACTAATCAGGAAAACTGTGTTGTTTGAAAATGAATAATAGTGATTAGAATTAGTGCACATTTCTGCAAATAAGAAAGTGTCCGAATGTGTTCATTGTTTTATGATAACAGCTAAAAGATCTTCTTCATCTCCTGTCTCTGTTTGTTCAACTTGGAGTGACAGTTAGAATTTCAGTTAATTGGTCCAAAATGTTTTCCATTTTTCCAAACTGCCTATCCTCATAAGGGTCACGGGTGTGCTGGAGCGTATATCGGCTGTCTTTGGACAGTAGGCGGGATACACCCTGAACTTTTTGACAACCAATTGTTGGGCACACATAGACGGACAACCATTCGCGCTCACATTCACGCATAGGGACAAATTTGAGTGTTCCATTAACCTGCCATGCATGTTTTCTGGAATGTGGGAGGAGTACTCAGAGAAAATCCACGCAGGCACAGGGAGAACATGCAAACTCCACACAGGAAGGCCGGAGCCAGAATCGAACCCTGTACGTCTGCACTGTGAGGCCGGCGTGCTAACCAGTTGTCCACTGCGCCGCCCCAAAATGTTTTCATTTAATACATGAGATTTCTTTGCAGTTTAGAAGTGATTTATGGCGCTCAAATGTTTCATCTATCCACTATGTACAGGAGTAAGATGCAACATCAACATTAAACTCACATGAGAAGTCACGTCTCGTAAAGCTGAGTGTCTTTCCACCGCGTTGAGCAGGTTGCGACCTTGACTCATACCCTCAAATGTTCAATGGTAGATAATAAGGGTATACACAAACATTTTAATTCTTTCCATTCTCTTTAAATACATTTTTACTGTATTTTCTTAAAAAGTAAAATACTGGAGGGTGCTGTTTCTTTTCTTTGTAAAAAACATTTTACCAATTTTTTTTAAGGTTGTGTTTTTTTAAGGTATAATTGGTATTTCCTTTAATTTCATTGGAGAAAGATGATTTGCCGTATGACTTTTGAGTTGTCATAGTTGTCATGGAATGAATTAAACTCATAAGTCAAGGCACCTCTGTATGTGCTTTGGCTCAGTAAAGGTTGGAAAGATTGCACTATCCGATAATAATTTGTCATTGTTGTCTTTCTCCCCCTGCGTCATCAGCTCTGCATGCCGAGGGGTCTGTCTTTCCGCACTCAGGTCGACCGCCTGGAGTCTCACTTCCACTCGTTCACTGTTGGCTTTGAGGATGGTTCGCGCTCTTACGGCTTTGTCCACACCTTCTACGAGGAGGTGACGGGTGCGCAGATCATCACAGCCATGCAGACCCTTCACAGGATGCACCACGTGGAGCACCACTCCGCTTCCTCTTCGTCCGCCTCCTCGTCCGCATCCTCGCCCTCCACCTCCAGCATGGACTCGCTGGTGAGCAGTCTGGATGAGTCGGCCGGCGAGTCATCTGCTCAAGTGCTGATGCATGGGCGAGTCTTTCTTGTGCAGCTGCTGTTCAGTCAAACCAGACGAGACTCTTAAAGCACAAGTAAATCTCTCTGATAGATGTCTATATTCTCTATTCCAATGATTACCAACCACGGTGCTGCAGCTCCTCCAATGGATGCCAAGAGAGATCACCGGGTGTGCTGTTGGAAAATATCGAATTTCACTTGTTTGGTCAGAAACTTTTATTATATGAGGTCTCTGTGATGAGTGACAAGTGAGAAGACATCATCATTCTTTCAGTATACAGTGGATATAAAAAGTCTACACACCCTAGTTCAAATGCCAGGTTTTGTGGTTTATAAAAAAAAAAAAAGACTAAAAAAAATCTTTTAAAAACTTTTCACTCTATGAATGTGATCTTTAATTTATATAGCGCAATTGGTGAATACATTTTTTTTTAAAAGGGCAGGTAAAAATAGCCAATTGAGATAAAGGGGGTGCACACCCTTATTTAACAGGAATGTGGCTGTGGGAAGAAAAAAACAAACAAACAAACAAAGAAAACTTATGTTACTATAAATTGGAATAAGTACACACTTGCCACCATTTAAAGTGGTTTTGATTAACCAGAAATAATTTTCTGATGTTCTAAGAGGCTTTTCCTGACTTTTTTTTTGCTTTCTAGTAGAAGCTTGAAGGTTTGAACACAGACTGATATTTCAAACTGTTCATAATTCCACCATGTTTCTTTTTTTGTGATAAATTTAACATATTTGCTATTTACATACTGTACAAGTGGCTTGTAAAACACTACCCTCAATAATAAGACCACTTTAGCAAAAAGCCCTGTGCTTAACTCATGGAACAATTGTGAAAAAATTATTGGATACGCTCTTATAATTTGAGAGCAGAGTCTGTGTTTCTTAAAGAATAACAACAGTGATTCTGATAAAGATGTGCGTTTGGGTATACTAGTAGGATGAGATCAGTGTATATTGAGCTGCTTGTTAAGATGTTAAGATGAGGAAACACCTTAATTCCGCCTTAACATCAACAGCAACCATTTAATTAAGCTTTCATTAGAATGCTGAAACAAACCTCCCCTCCACTCCACCTCTTGTGTCTCTCTGTCCCTCTCTCTCCCCCTCTCTCACTCTGTCACTCTCAATCCACCCCCTCTTTAAACACACGTCTCTCTTGTCTGCACGCCACCATGCAAGCTGCGTGTGTCAGGTGTGATGCATTGGCTGAAGTGAGCGTCATCTTGATGCCTGCTCTTAAAGCCATCGTGGAAATGGCTGCTATGGCGACGTGGCACCCTTTTCCAAGGTTTCATTCTACCTCTTGGCATGACACTAAATTGTCTCACTGATTAATACGCACCCACCAAGCTTCCAGTCTGGTGCTTAAAAATGGAATGACTTACCCACTCAGGAAAAACTACAACTGTGAACCCCCATTTATTCAACAGGACATTCCAGACTCAGCTGCAATAGGTGAAAATCTGCTATTTAGAGACACCTTATATATTTTATATGTATAGTTTTACGTAAACACAATCCATCCATCCATCAATTTTCAAGGCCACTTAACTTATGAGTTGTGGGGTGCTGAAGCCTATCCCATCTGACTTAGGGTGAAAGTGGACTACTTTCTGGACTATTCACTAGTCAGTTGCAGTGCACATATAGAGACGGAAATGTCACCGAGTGGCAACCGAACCGACACTGTCTGCTCAGCGACTGCACCACAACACCATCGTACATTTACATTTATTTAAAACAACAGTTTTTAAAAAAAAATCCTTAACACTTGGTCTCATTCTCACTCAGGCATATTTCCACATAAGAGGGAAAGCATGCTTGCCTTAAGCTATTTGTCACTCCCACTTGAAATTAAATAACTCACACATTAAACAGAAACAAATTCAACATTATTCAGTGTCTTGAGATACCAACTAAAATCAGTGCGCTTCAGATCCCCACTGCTAGATCGCTTCAGCATCTAGTGCCTACAACATAGGGCCACCATCAATTCACATTGCTTTCCTTGTAGAGGACGGACAAAGACTGTTAGTCCTGGTAAAACACAATCAAGCTACCGGTACTTTGCCAGATGCCATCAGAAGAAGAAGAAGGACGAACACAATGGCTGCATCCAAATTCATAGGCTACGTTCTCCGAAGGCTGTGTTTTTGGCTGCATTATTCGGCCGCATTCATGTAGGCCTAGCACTTGTTCGTTTCGTTATATGCAAACACTCAGGTACCGAAATGGTTCCTTTGCCCAGTTGGACCATTTGTATCCCTTTTCTAATCAGAAACAATGCTTAATTGTACTTATTTGAACCTTACAGGGTACATCGCAAAAAGATTTTACCTTGGCAGATAAAAATAAACCTCTCCAGTCGACTTTTTTTTTTGTGAGAGTGTAGTTAGACAACATATTGTACAACATATTGCAATGACATTTTTCAATGACTCGAGTTCCCTTTTAAGTCTGTTCCTTGATGGTCAGATTATGTGTGTCTCGTTATTGTAAATCCTTGTAGAGATTGTCAATTTATGATGTCCTCTTTCCATCTATTTCATATCAGTTGAATCCATTTTTCTCCTGACTGATTTTCAGGGGAGAGCTTTGAGCAGAGTCCAATCCACCGCTCCTTCAAATCTAGGCTTCTGGTCCACTACCCCAAGAGCACAGACAGGAACCCCTTCAATAAGGATGCGGTTAACATGGTGAGAATCTGGATTTGGTTCAACTAATCAGGAAAACTGTGTTGTTTGAAAATGAATAATAGTGATTAGAATTAGTGCACATTTCTGCAAATAAGAAAGTGTCCGAATGTGTTCATTGTTTTATGATAACAGCTAAAAGATCTTCTTCATCTCCTGTCTCTGTTTGTTCAACTTGGAGTGACAGTTAGAATTTCAGTTAATTGGTCCAAAATGTTTTCCATTTTTCCAAACTGCCTATCCTCATAAGGGTCACGGGTGTGCTGGAGCGTATATCGGCTGTCTTTGGACAGTAGGCGGGATACACCCTGAACTTTTTGACAACCAATTGTTGGGCACACATAGACGGACAACCATTCGCGCTCACATTCACGCATAGGGACAAATTTGAGTGTTCCATTAACCTGCCATGCATGTTTTCTGGAATGTGGGAGGAGTACTCAGAGAAAATCCACGCAGGCACAGGGAGAACATGCAAACTCCACACAGGAAGGCCGGAGCCAGAATCGAACCCTGTACGTCTGCACTGTGAGGCCGGCGTGCTAACCAGTTGTCCACTGCGCCGCCCCAAAATGTTTTCATTTAATACATGAGATTTCTTTGCAGTTTAGAAGTGATTTATGGCGCTCAAATGTTTCATCTATCCACTATGTACAGGAGTAAGATGCAACATCAACATTAAACTCACATGAGAAGTCACGTCTCGTAAAGCTGAGTGTCTTTCCACCGCGTTGAGCAGGTTGCGACCTTGACTCATACCCTCAAATGTTCAATGGTAGATAATAAGGGTATACACAAACATTTTAATTCTTTCCATTCTCTTTAAATACATTTTTACTGTATTTTCTTAAAAAGTAAAATACTGGAGGGTGCTGTTTCTTTTCTTTGTAAAAAACATTTTACCAATTTTTTTTAAGGTTGTGTTTTTTTAAGGTATAATTGGTATTTCCTTTAATTTCATTGGAGAAAGATGATTTGCCGTATGACTTTTGAGTTGTCATAGTTGTCATGGAATGAATTAAACTCATAAGTCAAGGCACCTCTGTATGTGCTTTGGCTCAGTAAAGGTTGGAAAGATTGCACTATCCGATAATAATTTGTCATTGTTGTCTTTCTCCCCCTGCGTCATCAGCTCTGCATGCCGAGGGGTCTGTCTTTCCGCACTCAGGTCGACCGCCTGGAGTCTCACTTCCACTCGTTCACTGTTGGCTTTGAGGATGGTTCGCGCTCTTACGGCTTTGTCCACACCTTCTACGAGGAGGTGACGGGTGCGCAGATCATCACAGCCATGCAGACCCTTCACAGGATGCACCACGTGGAGCACCACTCCGCTTCCTCTTCGTCCGCCTCCTCGTCCGCATCCTCGCCCTCCACCTCCAGCATGGACTCGCTGGTGAGCAGTCTGGATGAGTCGGACGGCGAGTCTCTTGCCACCGGCAACGCCGCCGCCACCTGTCTGGGTTGCACCGGCTCCTTCGACCCGTCTCATGACACGCTGTATGTGTCCAAAGCCCTCTGCCTCCTTACGCCGCTCCCCTTCCTTGGAGCGTCTCAACACTTCCTGTCTCAGCTGCACCAAGCCGTCGCCTCCCAAACGGCACCACCTCTACCGCTGGAAAGCTACATCCACAACATCCTCTATGAGGTTCCCCTGCCACCGCCCGGCCGCTCGCTTAGGTTTCACGGCGTGCAGGGCCCCATCTTGTGCCAACGGCCTGGCCCCTGTGAGCTTCCGCTCGCAGAGTATCCTCTGGGAGAAGCCTTCTCCCTGCTCGGTGTGGACAACATGGTGCAGCTGGTTACTTGCTCACTTCTGGAGACGCAAATACTGCTCTACTCTCAAGGTATGAAGATCTTCTTTAGCAATTGTATTCACATTTTAATCAGGTACAGTTGGCCAATCGTCTGTGAAAATAGAATAGGTTCTGATGGGATGTTGTTGAGTCATTCACAGCCTGTCGTTTTAAAAGGAGAGTTTCCCATACTGGCCAGACGTTTCAGAGCATTTTGGGACCGATCCTTTCAGACCCACAGAATACTGTGTTCTTTGACAATATACAGTGCATCCAAAAAATATTCAGTGTTTCACTTTTTCCACATCTTATGTTACAGCCTCATCCCATAATGGAATACATTAAATTTGTTCTTCAGATTTTCCCACCCAATGCTCCATGATGACAATGTGAAAACGTTTTGTTTTTGAAATTTTTGCCAATTTAGAAAAATAAAAAAGTAAAACATCATATCTACATTAGTAAAAAACTAAAATGTTTTACATGTAATGGGTTGTGTGTAGAATTTTGAAGGAAAAAATAAAAGTATACCACTGGAAATGAGGCTGTGACATAACAAAATATGGAAAAAAGTGAAGCGCTTTGCAGATTATTTTTGGAGGCTGATTTGTTGGCCAGGCCCTAATTATGGCGGTACTTGTTAAGCCAAGTATTTTTTTGACATGCTACTTGATGTAAAAAGTTAAACCACTAGTTTAGAGTGTCGCTTATCTTTACTGCTCCTCTTCCTCCTTAGACTACCAACGCTTGATGACAGTGGCTGAGGGCATCACCACATTGTTGTTCCCATTCCAGTGGCAGCACATCTACCTTCCCATCATTTCCACACCTTTACACCACCTGCTGGATGCTCCTGTACCCTTCTTAATGGGCATCCAGCGCAGGGATGGTGTTCAGCGAGCCTCCCTCCACCTGCCGCACGAGGTTAGGAGTTCATTTGAAATTCTGGGTTGCGGGATATTGAGACAATTTTTAATTTCTTCCCTTCCCCACATTTCAAAATAAGTTCCAGTTGACTTAACGACTGAACTACTGTCCTGTTCATACTGTAGTATTGGCTTGTCGAACATGTGCTTGTAAAGGGCATGGCCTAGTGAGTGACATTGGAATCTGGTTATTTCAGTGTGAACATCTACTCCTTGCAAGTGTTCTCATTTGTGTGTTTGACGAAACAGTTAAAATGCATCAGTGACAGTGGATCTCCTTGCCTTCACAAAATGGCATCACAGTTACTACCTGAGTCACTCAATTTATTTATTTATTTTTTCGCGTCACTAAAGTGACAGTGTATCTGAAGCTCACTCATAACTCTCAAAATGTTGTCTCACAAAAACGGGCAAGCAAAAGCTCGTAACTCGAAAAAGGTCTTATTTTGGGTCAAGGCACCACTGGGTTCTTGCCATAGCTTGAAAGTGGCTCTAGATCTTTGTACAGCTCAAGTCATGGCTGATGAAACTCGGTGTCTGGGCAGTTATGATGTAGCTCCACTGTTATGTAACCGGCGGCCCGGTGAACGACTGGTTAGCAAGTCCGCCTCACAGTGCAGAGGTGCAGGGTTCGATTCTGGCTCCGGCCTTTCTGTGTGGAGTTTGCATGTTCTGCCCATGCCTGCGTGGGTTTTCTCCGGGTACTCCGGTTTCCTCTCTCATTACAAAAACATGCATGGTAGGTTAATGGAACACTCTAAATTGTCCCCAGGTGTGATTGTGTGTGTTAATGGTTGTTCGTCTATGTGTGCCCTGCAATTGGCTGTCAACCAGTTCATTGTGTACCCCACCATTTGCCCGAAGACTCCTGGGATAGGCTCCAGCAATCCCACGACCCTCGTGAGGATAAGCAGATTAGAAAATGGATGGATGGATGTTATGTAAGCGATGTGCAGAAGCACACACTCATAGACACATATTCAAAAATAGGCAGGCAACAAAAGATTTACACGGTCGCTGAAGTTTCCATTTGATTTGTAAACAAGTCATTAAAAAGTCTGTTTTACATTTTATGCCACATTTATGTGTTCTTGCGTGCTGTTCCTTCTTGAACCCGATCTTTGTGCATTATCCTGCACCACAACGATCAGTTCTCCAATCAATGGTGCGACCTCATTGCATCTCGCCCGAGCCTCTTTTAAAGTTGCCTTAGAAAGAAGGCAGCCGAGTCACTTGGGGGCATGGATGAAAGCAGCAGTGCATAAGCATGAGAGATACTGAATAATTCATGTGAATTAATCATCTCATTTTTTTTTCTGGTGCAATTTTGATGACATGGGGTGAGAAACAACCTTCAAAACAAACCAGGAGTGAATAGAGTACAGTAGTATGATGTATGAGGCTGAGTCAGGCTGTGTTAGCGTGCATCTTCCAACCTTCCCCCCTGAGGCTTTAATCTGACTGTCAGAGGTCGGTGCTCAAGGTTGAGTGAGCTGACTAAACTGTGCTACTTAGACTGTGACACTTTCTTAGGTGTTTCTGCACAATCATTTCAAATTAAACATTCGCTTTTTGCACCTGCACCTCTGCAAAGTGAGACAGATGTGTTAAGCAGTTGACCACTGTGCCGCAGAGTTTTATTATCTCAGGGGTTTTTAATTATTATTCATAATTGTATTATTTTCCAATTAAAGAGAATTTGTACGTATCTCAATACAAGGGTTGCAATATGACATAAGAATGGTTCTATTTTGAAGTGAAATTATTCGATTTGATCTGATGTAATGGGATTAAGATTCCACTTGATATGGTACGGCTCAGTTCGAGACGGTATGAGTTTCTTGTGTTATGATTTTACATCCATATGATTGAACCCAGTACTGTAAATGTGGCATTGCCTTCAAAGACCTATCCCGCTAATAAAATACATTTCAATAAATAGCTTGATATATTTTGAAGTGGAAGGATTTGATTGCTTTCGGTTCTATACTATTGCAAGTTTTAAATCAAAACTCATTTTCTGATTCAAATTAGTTTTTGTTACACCCCAACAACAGGTGTATAAATAAGAATATTAGTATGAATCCTCAACTCTTGAGTACTCACCAAAGTAACTGATACCACTAGTACCTTTTGATACATAAAAATCTACTAAATCAATGACATTTTCTCATGGAAATTGGCAAGAATCTATTCAGTGAATGGAAATCTTGATCTGAGCCCTTAATTGGATGTTTCCAACACTTCCAGTTTGAATTAAATGCAAAATACTGCATACTTTCATAGTCATTTTTTTATCTGATGAAAAACTGGTTGAAATTAATTATTTTTTTTCTTCTTCATACACAGGCCAACCTTTGCTTTGTGGACATTGACAACCACTGCATGGATTCTCCGGAGGGTCTCCCCGCCTTTCCGGACCAAGCCGAGCTGGTGCGGGAACTGAGTGACATCCTGCAGCATTTTGGGGTCCCCCTGCAGGGAGGAGCCCTTACAAAGCCCACCCCGGCCTCTCCTCATCTGAGTAGCCTGGTCCTGGAGGATCTGATGGAAGACAGAAGGAACGGAAACCTCGGAGGCGAAGAACTGGAGGCGCTGGAGAGGCTACAGGCTCTGGCTTGGAGGTGCGGAGGAGACAAGATGTCGGGTGAAGGGAAGACGCTGGAACGCGTGTGGAAGGAGGAAGAGGAGGCTATGAGTGAGGCGAAGATGAACATTCAACTTCGGGAGGTGTTTGCTGGACGCTTCGCTACCTTGTTCAGCCGCTATGAGGAGTTTGTGATCCACAGTGCACTTGATTTGGAGTCCTGGATGAGTAACCGAGAGGGAACGTTCAACTTTGACAAGGTACAGTGAAACTCCCTTTTCATGGGCAGGTGGGGGGTATGCATTCAAAACCTACCCACCGTCACAAGAACATATTACTTTTTTATGTACTGTATTTATTTTTTTAAGTTTTACTCCTCCGCACACTTTAGACACATTTAAACTTATTGAATAAATCCACAACAACAATGACGTACCGAGGCTAAGGGCTAGATCAGTAGCCCGTCGGCCTATTCTAAAAATATCTCCCGAGTTCCCAGTGAGCCAGCGATGAGATATTCAAATTTCCCAGGGATGTTGTAGAAGTGAAGACAAAGGGGCGGCATGGTTCAGTGGTAGAGTGGTACTCTTCCAAACGAGAGGTTGTGGATTCAGTGCCCAACCATCGTGAGCATGTTTAAGTGTCCTTGAGCAAGATACTGAACCCCCAGTTGCTCCTGATCCTGCGTCATCAGTAGGTGAATGATTAGATTGTGTCAAGCACTTTGAGTACCTAAGATAGAAAAGCGCTCGACAACCATTTAAATGATAATTTAAAAATGTCAACACTGGCATAGATTTATACGATGTATAGAATGTCTACTTATCCTCACGAGGGTTGCGGGTGTGCTGGAGCCTATGCTCGCTGTCTTCGGCCAGCAAGTGTATTACACCCTGAACTGGTTGCCAGCCACTCGCAGGGCACACATAGACAAATAACCATTTGCGCTCACAATGACACCTAGGGACAATTTAGAGTGGTCCATCAACCTGCCACGCATGTTTTTGGAATGTGGGAGCAAACCGGAGTACCCGGAGAAAACCCAAGCAGGCACGGGGAGAACATGCAAACTCCAGGCCCGTATTCGAACCCACAACGTCACACTGTGAGGCGGACGTGCTAATCAGTCGACCACTGTGCTGCTCATTATTATTATATGTTATATTATTATTAATATTGTTATTCAAATAAACTGCAACTTCAAAGTTGTATTAAAAATCTGTAGTGGCACAAATAGTGAACTGCCATATAGCAGGGAAACATACTAGTTGGAGCCGTTGTAGTTGGAAACATTCGCCCAACAGGGATTGGGGGAAACAAAAGGTGTTCTTTTATACTCTGGAATAAAGCACAAATAGCAGCTCCTGTTCCACATTAAAGTTCAGAATGCAAGCGAACTTGCCAGGTTATCAGAGAGCTTTGTATTACTGACAAAAATAACTGTTTAGTACATGAATAACTCTTAAGGTTTGGCAGTGTCCTCCTAGTTGAGGGCAGTGCAGCTCACCCTTATGTGCATCTAATTGGATTAATTGGCTGCAGGTCATGAAGTGCACCAGCCCGCAGAGCTCAGAAAGGTAGCATAGCACTTATTAAACACTCATTACATTCACCTACAGGGCAAATAAAGGGTAAGCACATGCTTATTTTTAAATGTGAGAGACCCCTCATGGGGAAAGGAAAAGAATGTGTGCGCTTACTGCTCTTTCAGTGTGTGTACTAGAGATGACCAACAGAGCAGACCACACACATAAGGACATCTCCACCGACAATTTTGAGTCACTTCTTAAGACTGACTGCGGAAGCTGCATGATGTTGACTGAACACTTAAGGATTTGCCATCTAAAAGATTGAGCCGTGACACTCAAGAAGTTGAGATTTGGCCACTAAAAGAATTGAAAAATTCAGATTTTGTTTTTGCCACGTTATAGAAAATCATGAGTTGGTGGATTTTCTGAGAATAATAGAAAATAGCTTCCCAAAATTATCTATAATAAGTGATTTGGCCAATACTGAGAAATGCACTGTGTATACAGTAGGACTGCACAATAAAATGAAAAAATATAATTGCCACAAAGGCCTGTCCAATATGCATATCGCAAAGACTTGCCATAAGTTTCATTTGAAATTGTATGCTTCTATCTGAATTTGACCAGTCCATTGCAACCTTAAATCTGCATCACCATCCAATAGGTGAACATTATCAAGGGACATGACAATTACCGGTAATTAACAATTTTTCCTTATTTTGCCCCATAAAAAAATGTTCTTCTTGCATTAGATAATAAAATGTCATTTCTTTGGGTACATATTGAATATCGCTATATTCAACACTCTTATCGCATGTTTTGCTAATACCGTGCAATATTGTACTTTATGTATGAGTTTTCTTCGATGATGTACCTTTGCTCAATAAAGATTGGGAAATACTAATCCAACATTGATCCCAAGGGTGTGAAAATGCTCACATAGGGCCAGATTGTGTCAATATGTTAGGATCTTGCGCTTCAGATGTAGCATCTCTTTTAACTACATTATTTCTTTGTGGACTTCTCTTATTCCAGGGTGCCTTCCTCTCAGCTCAACCTGTGACCCACTTGCACTTCCTGTCCCGTTTCCTGGAGACGTCCATGTTTTCATCTTTTGCCGACGGCAAGGTGATCTCTCGCTGGGCTGACCGCGAGCCACTGCAACAGCTCTTTGACAGCCGCCTGGAAAGGGAGCGACTCTACGACACGGACCAGGTTGACTCTCCCGGCAGTCACTACAGGAAATGCTCCACCCTTTTTGAATCAGGTACACTGGAAATACACAATGATAACATCAAGCTTCAATCTCTCTAATTTTTGCCATAGGTTGTCATCCCGCACCTTAAAGCAGCAAACAGTTATTGTTATATTGCTGTTCATGGTACACAGCGATCCACTTTTCAAGGATTCAGTGAAACACAAACACAATGAGCACTGTCACGCAGAAGATGCTGTCGGCTACAGCTTACGCTCATGCACTCACGCACAAAATTGCCACACAGACTCGCTGTCACGCGTCACCTTTTATAGGCACATGCATGTACACTGACACTACAACACATTCGGTATTTTCGGTGCAATTTTGCTTGCAGTTTTTTTTTTTTTTTTTTACTCAAATGCATTTACAATATATCTAAAAAGTATACTTCAATGTGTTCATGTGTTTAATATATTTTTGAGAGAGAGAGAGACAGAGAGAGAGAGAGAGAGAGAGAGAGAGAGAGAGAGAGAGAGAGAGAGAGAGAGAGAGAGAGAGAGAGAGAGAGCAACCACTATGGGTACCGTTTTCCGAATCACAAAGCATATTGACGAGGTGATCCTGGAATTGGTGAGCAGGCTCTTATTTACCAAGATTATGAAAAATAGCTGAGAGTCTGGTTCAAGAACACTGTTGCGGGTTTGCCTGTCAACCTTGGCCTTTTGGTTAAGCCAAACAACCCTGCTGTTCATAATTCTTATATAAATACTGTCATAGATAACCACCCCTCAGATTTGCATGACATTTGCTCTCAAGATACATCAATTATTTACTGAAGATCATTCAAGAAAATCATTGGGAAAAGGAAACCAAAACAATCAGATTTTATCACAGTTACGTATCTGGTTTGTGTTCCTATGATGATTCTGTTGATTTAATGTGCATGAGCACATCAAACTGAATAAAATATTGCTCATATGAACATCAAAGTCAATTAGGACAAAAGGCAAAACGAGTGTGGGATTAAGGCTGCTTAGAGGGGGCTGGGTGCGGATGGAAGGGCATTAAAGATGGGGGTGTGCTAAAGAATGCGGTGGGGGATGAGCTGTTTTTGTGTCGCTTCTTCCAATCTGATCCTCATTCAGCCATTTTTATTCATTCCACTAGATGTAAAAAATGAACACTCCCTTTTAAGTAGCCGGTATTGTATTATGAAAATAAATTGGACTACTAGGAATAATTTCAATTTGTGCAATTCTGTTGAAAATTAAGCATCTTTTTTAAAAATTGTGAACAAATATGATGTATATGAACGTATTTTGTTGTGCTTCTGGTCCTCAAACAAATGGTCCACCGAAGTGCATACTTGGGACAACTCGTCATCACAATAAATTTAACACAGCTAAGGTTTTTTTTTTTTTTTTTTTTTTTTTTTTTTTTACAAATTACTTATTTTGAAAACAAGATCAGCTTTCTTAGTTTTTTAAACAAGTTTAAAAACTAGTTTTTTTTTAAAACAAAAACAAAGGATTGCTAAGAAATCAATTTTTATTATAATTAACAGACAGGTGTTTCACAATTTATTTCAAATCAGACAAAAATGCATTAAAAAAAAACAAATCACTGATATATTCTGCAAAATTATATGTATTCTGTCAAGGAGGGGAAGCTCAATTTCGGCCTACATCATAAAATGTGTCCATTTATTTATACGTCAATTCTGCCAATAAAGTTGTACTTGATACTTGATTCTCTCCGTTCCTTTTCAAAAAAATTAAACGGATGCCTTCACCATAAGATCGATGATTGGCTCATTTCGCTGTAAATCAAAAAGAGATTCAGCCTCAGACAGATCATTCAATCATCATGCAGAAAAGCTGAGCTTCTGGGCCAGCCTATAACGCCCACTGCCCATAGACTCCCAGAAACGCTGAGCGTCCAGTGGGCGGGACAAAACCAGCATTTATCCAGTGACTCGTCTCGTTTCAATGCATTGGGACAACCTACCCTGAACTCTCTCGACGCTCAGCGTCCACACAGTTTAAAGCACAGTGAAGCTGCGGGAATGAATGAGAAGAGAGTAGCGTCGTAACCAATAATAAGAAGCTGATTCAGAACAAAAGTTGAGCGTGTTGTAGCACATATTTAGTCAATGACATGTCCACACAATTGTACGTACACACATATATTTGATCACTTACTTTTTGACATTTTAGGGGAAGCTGAGCTTCCCTTGCAGTCTTAGAGCAATCGCCTCTGCATTGTATACATAGTTCAGTATTGTATAATAACTGTAAAAAATAAAACTGACTACTTCACGGATTTCGCCTATCACGGGTTCTTTTTTGGAACGTAACCCCCGTGATAAATGAGGGTTCACTGTATACCCATTGTATATGCTGTGTAATAATTTTAATTCAATATGAAGTTGATTTATTATTTGAATGCTGCCGATGATCTATCTTGTCTGAACAGGGCCTTGTTGCTCACGCTAGTGACAAGCACCATTGTGTTTTCATTACATTTTCATTGTGTGTGCACCCGTGCAGCTCAGGCCATTGAGCGCCGGCTGCTGAAGGCCGACCACACTGCCATACACCCGCACCTCCTGGACATGAGGATCGGCCAGGGTCGCCACCAGCCGGGCTACTTTCCCAAGCTGCAGGCCGATGTTCTCATACACTCGCAAAGCATCAACAAGTGAGTCTTTCATCCGTGATTGGCAACCAATGTCTGAGGCAGCCCAAGCTATACAATAGGCAAGATGACTTATTCAGCCAGAAAAAGATGTACAGTGAACCACAGATTTTCGCAGGCGATAAGTTTCAGACCAAGTCACTGGGCTGCATTTTAGCCACGCTCAAAACATCTGGACAAATGAAATGTTGAAAAACAATTTATCGCTATATCACAACAGTTCATTACTAACTACAGTGTTCTCAATTTTAGCACATTTTCAGCAATTATCTGCAAACTATTATGTACTAAGAACCAAATTGCTGAATTCACTTTACTGGATCTTTTTAAACATTGTATTTTTAAATGCCAAAATGTTCAACGAAACCATTTCAAAGTCTGCAAGCTTAATCCTAATGAAAATTAGCTTAGATTTAAGCAGAAATGATAAATGTTCAAACAACAGCCACTTTAATACAAATGAAGCAGTAACGATATACAGTACAAACAGAGCATCCAACAAAAGAGAATTAAACACTATTTAAAAAAAAAAAAAAAACCAAATCACATACCGTAATTTCATTTAACGAAATTTCAGTAGTTAAATGCTAACATACAATATCTGGAAGGCCAAAATGCGCCAACCTTCAAACAACTGCTACTTTACACACATGGAGCACCACAATATATAAACTTCCAAATCAATCGCTTGAAAATCCAATGTATATTCTTGGCGTAAGAACTGAATCATCATAAAACCGGGGTTCACTGTGTTACAGGTTGGATCCAGGGCACTCTTCCATATCAGTCTTGTGAATCAGCTTGATTGTCTTTTTGTGGATTGGAAATAGACTGCTTTTATATTGCACTTGGCTCGCTCTGATGTATTCACAGCTCTTTCTGCTTCAGTCACACCATGATTAATAGTGATGGCATAAAATCAACGACTCATTAGCGCACAGCAGAAGCTTCGTGGGGTCCTCAAAGGGACTAAACCAGAATGGAATCGAACATGAAGCCTTTCGTTTTCAAGATCACCATCTTTTTTTTCGACCTGAGTCAAGCTACTCGTATTGTCATATGAGAATTTATTGTCACAAAGCATACATGGATAGTCAGTAAAAATACAGTGGTAGCTCGACGTGTGAGTGACCTGACTTACGGTTTTCTCAAGAGACCAGATGTTGCTCGGATGATATTTTGCTTTGACTTGCGAGCAAAAGAGAACTTGTTACTTCAACTTGTTTATTGCCACTCCCAGTTCAGGTTGACAATCAAATTAAAGATGAAGCAAAGAGAATTACAGTCCCCTCCAAAAGTATAGGAACGACAAAGTCCCTTACTTTGTCTTTGTTTTGGGTTTTAGATCAAAACCTGAATATGAGACAGAAGTACATGTTGTGCCTGTAATTTCTTCTCTGCTGAGTGTCTGATTGTTTACGCCTGAGGAGGCGGTCCAGTCGTGTCACAGCATCCCGCATATCCGATCCCAGGAGGATGTCAGCAGCAGGAGAGCTCTCTGCACCAGATGGTGAACAAAGACAGGTGCTTTGTCTGGCATTCAGAAACAATCCCGTACAAAAATGGTAGTTTTCCTTATGTCTGTTGATTTCGGTTTCCTCCACAGAAGCACTCATTGGCAAGGAAGCATCTTAACCAGCTGAAGTTTCTGGACCTGTCGCCTCAAGTCATCGCTCAGACCCACAGGGAGTTTGTTCAAGGGCTGCTGAGTGAGTGTCGATTGAAGGTGAGAGCTCTTGATGGTCTACAAAAGTCATTATTAACTCCGCCAGGGGGGCTATATTTATTGCACTGTCGTGAGATTGCCATTTTGTCGTGCTGTCCAGTTGTGCAATAGACCTTTCTATAATGTTTTGCAAACATCAGATGCTGGGTTTGCAAAAAGCAAATGACCACCACTAATGTAAAATGATGACAACAACTGTCTGAGGTTGGACCACCAGATATTCCCTAAAATGTTTATTTTTTTTTCCCTTTGATTATTAATATTAAATAAATGAACTAATTAATTAGGAATGCATGTATTGATACAGATACTGTATATCTGTGCTTGTACTCGGACTCATAAAAATGCTCAGAATCTATGACACCGATGCCACTTCACCAGCCTGCTAAATACTCTCAAAAGTGAATGAAATGTATAAAATGTTCAAGAAACGTTTGTGCTTTTGAATAATATTTTATCAGGAAAAACATGTTACATTTTAAGCCTTATTTGCATCAATAATTGCTCCTTGTTATGGGCGAGTGCTCACATGTAGTTGTACTTCAGTCTAAAATAAATTGCATCCCTGAAATTAACTGATGAAATCCGTGGGTGAGGAGGATGAATCGAGTGGATGTCAAACGTTTACTGAAAATGACCAGACTGCCTGCTGTCGAAGTTAAACACTTGAAATTACCGGGTTTGTGGGACGCATTTTGTCGCAAAAATGTTTGGTTGGGTTGTCTTTGAGTAACTTGGCAAAACATAATGGCTCGCATGCTCAAAGATGACGATGCGCCATTCATTTCAGCGTCCATAGAGCTCATTTGTGCCATTCATCCAAGCAACCAAAATTCAACTAATTAGCCGGGCTGTCAATGAGCATGTTAACTATAGCTGAATGTCCTTGCTTGCTTGTGGAAATGTAAATTGTGGCCAGTGACTGCAGTCTCTGTGGTAGAAATGTACCTCATCTATAATCACATCTTTTCAACTGACACTTGACATATTCAAATTGCGACCGTAGAGGAGAAGGCTAAAATCACCGTTCAAGCCATTTCCCTTTTGTGCTCAATCGCTCTGCATTGGTCAGATGACATGTAAGGGTTTGTTTTCTCTCAGAATGCTTGAAGTTTTGCTACCTTAAGTGCATCATGGTGAAATGGTCAGCAGCAGGGGTGTCAAACTCATTTTTGTCGCGGGCCTCAATGCAGTTACGGTTTCCCTTGGAGGGCCGTTATGACTGATGATGATTGTGAAATCATATACATGTTTAACTGCCTCCACATACTACATACACAGCAAACAACAAATTGATGGATAACTAGTTTTGAAATCAGAAGTCAAGAATAATGGCTTGTTCAAACACTGTTAATATGGATTACATATGACAATTTAAAATTTTGGTTCAGACTTTCGCAAGCATTATGGAAGTTGACATGCTTGATTGGCTTTTGCTGGCCACATAAAATGATGTGGCGGACCAGATCTGGCCCCCGGGCCTTGACTTTGACACCTGTGGTCGACAGTGTTGTTTACAAACACCCTGAATTGTTCTATTACTTTTCAATTCGTTCTGTGTCTCAAGACCAAACGTATGTTGATGGAGAGGATGGGGAAGGAGAGTGTGGAAGTGGGTCAGGGGGAGGCCAACATCACTGGCCTGCAGGAGAACACGCTAATTCACAGTCTGTGCGACCTACTGGAGAGAACCTGGGGCCACGGTCTGCAGATGAAACAGGTCAGATGCGATCATGCAACCTCATGTCAGCCAAATGAAAATGTTGTCAGCACACTCACAGAGGCATCATGGTAAATATGACTGTTGGTGTGTTTAAACAGGGCAAATCAGCTCTGTGGTCGCACCTGCTTCATTTCCAGGCAACCTTGGAGAAGACAGAGGTGCCTGCTGAGTCTCCAGGTAGCAGGGATTGGGATGACATGCTGTGATGAACTAGACATCATCCTGTGCCGTTTAAAGTTCATTCCGACTGTAAATGAGATGCAGTTTCTGATTCCTGTCAAATATTTTCAGGCGCAGAGCAGAGAACATATGACGATGGCGCTGTCCTTCTAAGAGGATCCTTAGTACAAGATATGAGGTGTGTAACAACAAAGTTTAATGGAAGAAAGTTGCTTATAATCAGACATTTTCCCTTGGAAAAGAGATGGAAAATGTACATTGCATGATTCATGATTTTGAACCCGTCTCCTGACTGATACTTTAGAACAAGAAGATCCCTCTGATGCTTTGGAAGCACTTTGCGGACCATAGCTTGTGCTGTAAGATGTGACTACAAAAATGTCGGGATAAGCTAAACTAGTGTGAAAGCGTTACATAAAGAAAGTTGAGTGGAGTAGAACATCTGAACTTTTATTTGTTGTGTGGCTCTTAATGAGGGACACTTGAAATGATGATACGTGTGCTAACCCCTGTTTATTTTGGACACACAGGTAAACAAGGGGTGTGAAATGTGGTATAATAGTTAAAGAAAAATCTGAAACAAAAACAGAACTATTAGGGGTTTAAATTAGATAAAACGGGGATTTATTTATTTATTCGTCTGTTTATTTTGATTTTTTTGTGCACCCTTAGCTAATGCTATCAGTGACTGTAAGTCAAAGTGGACAATACTGATTAAAAAAATACATCATTTTTTAAAAATGATGCAAGGGTCCTGACACATTTATAAAAAGAAAATGTTACCGTACTCTGAACAATACTTGACAATCAATAATGATAAATTACTATTTAACATTCTTGACGTGTGCATAACATTTTCTTTCAGGTTTATCCAAACAATGAGTGAGGGTCTGTCTGAGGTGGGACAAGCCCGGGCCTGGATCAGCTTGGCCCTGGAGAAGAAGATGCTCTCACAGCACCTTAAAGAGCTGCTTACAAACCAGGAATTGCTTCGGTAAACAAACAATTTAATTCCTGTCTTTGTCTGGTGCCTTATTTGACCTTGTTTGCTCTTGTTTGTCCACACAGACAGTTATACAAGCCTCACGCTTTCCTTCTGTGCGAGGAAGAAAGGGAACAGTTTCTATACCATCTTCTCTCTCTCAACACGGTGGACTACCTCTGCTTCACGCGCGCCTTCGCTTCTATCAGTGAGTCAATACAAATAGAACTCCCATTTGTTAATTTATGTGACCCATCAGCAAGACAGGGCAAGTTTATTTGTGCAGCACCATTCAAACAATCCAGTGTGCGTGGAAGGAATTCATAACAGGAATAATGTTGAAAATCAACATAAAAGCGGGATAAATAAAAACATAAAACATTATGTGCGTGCGTTCGTGTGTGTCTGTGTGTAGATAGATAGACACAAATAATATTTCTAACAATAAACAACCCGCCTCTCTGCAGACATTCCCTATCGTGTCGCCATCATCCCCATGAAGAAGCTGAGCATCGCCATGGCGACTGTCCACCCATGGGTGTGCGTGTCTGGAGAAATGGGAGATTCGGGAGTGAGACAGATCCCCAAGAATACCCAAGAGATTTTTTTTGAGGTTTGCGTCAACACATGCCTAGTTAAGAACTCATTTGTTAAAAATGAAAAGAATAAAACAACAGCATTTTTTTTTTCACCATAATGATCTCATTTGAAACAAAGTTGAATGAAATTATAGCAGGCCCTCTCGGAGTAAGTTAGTACCTTGGCTTACAAATGCCCCCAATTTGAGTTTTCATAAGCAGTTGCTTCCCAGCTCGAGCCTCACAATTTGTTGTGTTTGTTCCAGTGCAAGAACCTGGGCCGACTGAGCACTTTGCAGCTGGGACAGGAGAACTCGGGCCTGCTGGCCAAGTGTCTCATTGACTGCGTGATGGTCTACAATGAGATCACGGGTCATACATACAAGTAAGAATTTTGTATGCTTTGAAAGCTACATGCTTCTCATTTACGCCGAATATGACAGATGTCCTAATCTTTACTGTGTGTACTGTGTCAGCATCAACTCAACTGTTATTGGACTCAGACAGCTTTAGACTTCTTGTTTAGGTACCCCCACCAGATACAAAATTAGGTACCCCTGCTCAAGATCATAAAATTAAATACAAGCCCAGCTTCCATTTTTAGAAACATTTCTAATTTTGCACCGCGTTTAGTTGTGCAGATGTACTGAATAAAATGCAAAAATAACTCTTTGTTTCCCCTGCCCGTTCTGTTTTTTAAATGTGCATGGTCTTCCCTGCCAGGTTCCCTTGTGGTCGATGGTTGGGGAAAGGCGTGGGCGACGGCAGCCTGGAACGAGTCCTCATTGGTCACTTGGTATCACCTGGTGGAGAGGAGGATTCCGGAAGATGGACTGGGACCCCGCCAGAGTTGGCCTCACCCTCCCAAGGTGTACGAGCTGTGTTGGGATCCCTTGGAAACCGGGCGAGTACGTACTGAAAAATACTCTTTAAATTCTTTATAGTATTACTGTCTGGAAAGTATTTCTTGTGATAAATGGCGGTTCTTGTACTTGTCTTCATGCCTTCTTATGTTTCTTACTCTGTACTTGTGTTTTTGTTTGACAGGAGTGTTGTCTGTTGAAGTCCATGAAGACATGCGGGAGGCAGCCAATAACCTTGTCAAGCACTTTCACAAACCTGAACAAGAGGTATGTGAATGTAATTTAACACATAATCAGTTTCACACAGTATCGTACTTGGGCCTTAAATGAGGAGTTTCCTCGCTTAATCCACTTCTTAATACCACCGTTATTATGTCACACTTATAGAAAGCATCAATACGCCACACAAACACAATATAACAGCACAGAACTGTACCGTAGGCGTCATGTGGAGCAGTTCAGAATCAGTATTTATCTAATAACATGACAAAGCCCACAATATTTAAATAAAATACATCATACTCACCAGAGATGCTGATCATTTAATGTGCGCAAATCCGTTCAGATGTTGTTTTGCTAGCCAGGCTTGGAATAAATTTCAGAATTTGAATGTAATGGAGCTCCAGAACTGACACGCTGACTGGACACTTGAATAGGTACACCCGCACCAACTCGCTAATGGATTTCCAAAAATCTCTAGAGTAGCAGACCTCCACCAAGGCCAACCATCTCTTATTTGGATCAACACCTTCAATGATACAGTATATTGTCATGTATTATAATAAACATGGTAGTCCAAATACTATAAAATATTGCCGGTTGTCTTTTGTGTGAGGACATGCCAGTGAAATTGACTCTGGTCTCTTCTTGTCCCTTTTCCATTCTGGCAGAGAGGCAACCTGACCATGTTGCTATGTGGCGAAGGAGGACTGGTTCCCTCTTTGGAGAAGTTCCTCCTCCATGGCTTCAAGTCCAGCCGCCTTTTCCAGAGAAATGTGTTTGTTTGGGACTTTGTGGGTGAGTGCTGTGTTCTTCCATGTAACATATACTTTCTAGCTGTCTCGCTTTACAGGCATTTTAATTCCGTTCCGTTCCTCTTTCACTTTACACCAAAACTAAGGCTGGATTTAAACGGCATGGTTCCCGTGATACAATAAGGATTTATGGACAGAGTGGGATATTTTATTTATTTTTTTTTTTTTGGGGTGTGTGTTTTTGTGTGAGAGAGCGTGAGACGTTTTTGGGTGGATTGTGCGAGTTTTTGGGTGTAACCTAAAGATTCTTTGGTCAAAGTGAGATTTGTCATTTATATTTTGGGGTGAGAGTGTGAGATTTTTGATGTATATAAGAATCTCTGTGGTCCATGTAAGAGGTTCTTGTGTGAGTGAGGTTTTTTGAGTCTCGGTAGGAGGTTTTGACTGTGTGAGAGTTTTTAGGATAAGAGTGAAAGGGTAATTTGGTGTGTTTTTGTGCATGTGAAAGGTTTTTGGTGCACATCAAAGGGTTTTTTTTTGTTTGGTCTTTTTTAGTGTGTGTGTGTGTGTGTGTGTGTGTGTGTGTGTGTGTGTGTGTGTGTGTGTGTGTGTGTGTGTGTGTGTGTGTGTGGGGCGTGTGTGACGATGTTTTTTTGTGGTTGAGAAGTTTTGGGAGCATGTGAGTGGTTTTTGGTGCAACGGTGCATTTTTTGTGCATGTGATTTTTTTGTGTGAAAGGAGTTTTTTGGTTGTGTCAGAATTTTTTGAGTGAACTGGAGAGGTTTTTGTTGAGTGAGGTTTTTCCTTCATGAGAATGAGAGATTTTTGGTGCATGATCGAATTATTTTCATTTGTGAGAGTTTTTTTTGGTGCATGTGAGAAGTTTTTGGTATAATTTAGTGTTTTTGTGTGCATGAGGCTTTTCTCGTGAGTTTTTGCTGTATGCGAAGTTATTTGTGTGTGGAACAGTTTTTGGAGGGGGATGTGAGAGCTTTTGTGAAAGACATAGTTTGACGTGAGGTTTTTTTTGGTGACATTTTTTTCTGCATGATTGACGTTTTTGGTTGCATGAGTGGTTTTTGTGTTATTGATACGTTTATGAAGTGAGTTTTTTGGTATGAATGAGTATTTTTTTGTGTAAGAGAGTTTTTGTTAGTGTGAGGTTCTTTTCATGAATGTCAGAATTTCCTGGTGAATATCGGAGGTTTTATTTGGTGAATGTGAGAGGTAAATATTTTTTTTGTTTTGGCGCCTTATACAAATGGGATATGTGTCATTTCAAATGTACATATATGTTGAACTATGGGATCAAGGCATTAAATGAGAATTGGGCACTTGGAACTGCAGTGTATATCGATCCTAAAATTCTCTCTCTCTCTCTCTCTCTCTCTCTCGATATATATATATGTGGTTTCCATGGAGACGGCTGACCAGCTGGGCCACCCACCAGGCTCCATGTTGATAAAGGAGCCGCCTTGTGACTTGCTCTGCCACTACGTCAACTCCATTAGCGCCTCACCGCGAAATATTGGGAAAGAGGGCAAGTTCCAGCTGTTGGTTTGCCTCGGAGTCAGGTGAGTGGCTCCACAATATGCACACTTACCCAATCGCCCGCGTTTCAATTCGGGGAAGTGTGCACATTTACAGAGAGTGCTTCCTCACATATTTTCTGGGTCAAATTTGACTTACGGTAATTTGACAATTTGACAGCAATAAAAAAGAGTTAATGTCAATTTTTCACCCTAAACCTTGGTAACTTTTCCTGAAGTTACTCAAAACACAAAAATGAAAATATTTAAAATGTCTTTCTTTTGTACATTTGCACTTTTGTACAAGGTTTGTATACAAATTCAACCTGTGTCTACTGAAATGTGTTTCTGCTGAGTCTCATTGCCTAGTGTTGTAAATATGTATATAGATTTCTTTCCCCCTACAATACCATTAGTTGTATAATTGTGTGGAGCTACTGTCCAATTTACTGCTGCAAAACCTGAAGTATGGAATTAGTAGACTAAAATTATTCGTTTTTTTCCCCAGATTTCAGATCCCAAAAACTTGGAAATATTGCTATATGTGGTTTTCATCAACAAAAATATATCAATAAAATACCTGTATATGTTAATACTGTATACTATTTTATATATATATATATATATATATAATTTCTGGTGTTATTGCTGTGTGTGCCTCAGAGCTTACTTATTACAGTATATTAAGTAATATGAAGTCTTTTTTTTTAATTGCTCTAAAATCTTACAATTATCTAATTTTGTCTGCTTTGGTTACAACAGGAATGTAGGATTTTTTACACACTGAAATCTTTCATCCCAGAGAATGTTAGCTGTAGAATAATTGTGATTACCATTCACGTGGGAAGGATAACGTCAGATTTTTTGTGTCCATGCAAGACTGGTTTGCAAAGTATTCCTTTGCACCTGTAGTCATGGTTGCAATTCAGTTTTCCTAATTCGACGCAAAACATACTCGCTTCAAGTTTGTCACTCCCAATCGAAGTTTACTGCACACCTGAAGCAAAATAAAAGACAATCAAACATTGTAAACTCAAACACCAAAATATTTAACAAAACGATGTAATTTTATCAAACATAAGTCAACTAGCTTTCGGCTAATATATACTAGGGAATGCCATTGATGAGCAAAAAGAAATTAGCATAGCAAAATCCATCTGTCTTCAATGACTAACCAGCTGACCTGTCCTCTTGTTAGGGATCGTCTCCTCTCTCAGTGGCTTCCCCTTCTAGCCGAGTGTCCCCTAACGTCACGTACCTACGAGGACGGCGCCCTGATGCGCGACCGCGCGGCCGTGTGCTCACTCTCTCGCATCTTGCACACACTCAACGAGTTCGCCGTTACGCTGGAGACGTCTCTGGTCAAGGGCGTGGCCCTCTGACACATCATCGAGGACGTTGCCACGCAGGCTTCTGAACTCCTTGTTTGCTGTTAAAAAAAAAAGGCCCGTGGACGTGAATGATGCCACGTGAGCTCCAAACCTTTTGCCTTGTAAATGTCTTTACACACTGTATCTGCTTCGGGAAGTAGTCAGATTCTCCTTCGTGTGATTACACTGTGAAAAGAAAAAAAAATACACAAAAAAAAAAAAAAAAAAAAAACACAAAACAAGCTTTGGACAGAAGTCGTCATCCACAAGTTCACATGGACAGACTGTTTGTTTTCCTCATATCGTGTGCATGCTCAGAAAAAAAGTACATTGTCGTATCTTTGTGGGGCTTGTCATATGGCCGCTACCCTTAAAAATACTGCTCTTGGACCCTTGACACTTTTACAATTTCAGGACATAAACACAACGGTACATAAAATGCCAATAAATCCAAAAAAACCCACAACAAAATATAATAAAGTAAAGAAATAAACTGGTTTTCTAAAGGCGGACAACTTTCTGTGTATTGATTGATCTAAATACAACACAATACAACTTTATTGATGTAGCATTTCACAAGAGCTGAAACTGTAACAAAGCACTTTACATATAACCCTTCTTGTCGGAACCCACGGTGGAGGGGGTATTACGATTCTGTATTTACTTTTTATCCAAGAGAAAACCGAGGGCAACAAAAGCAGCGCTGCAACAAAGGGGAGGCTGCGTTGTTCAGAACTAATGCACAGGCATAAGTGTCGAACCCCAGCAGAAAAATTAAAGGCATGTCCAAAATAATAGCCAAGTGTCAAGGGGACAAAAGCATGAACTGGGTAACACCCCGGAGTCAAACAATATAGCACACAATTGTTACAATTACATTTACAATAAGATAGAAAACTTCATTTATTTCACTGGTTCAATTCAAGAAGTGAAACTTGTATACATATATATTTCATGAGGGTTTTTTTAAATTACATTTTGGCGATTGAAAACCCCACATTCACCATCTCAGGAAATTACACTACTAAATAGGAACTGGAATCAAAAGGATTTTGAATGTAGGAATACAGTGAAGCTTTCCCTGGTTATTGCAGAGTGGATATTCTAGACCCAGCCGCAAAAAGCTGAAAAATAGAGACATCATAAACAAATGCAGAATTGTTAAAGCACACTTAAACTGATGAAAGGACCTTTTTTTTTACCGTATTGCAAACTAATTTGAAAAATTGAGAGCATAAACGTACAGATCATTCTGTACATATTATCGTTTAAGTGCTATGAGGATGCGGCGCCTGACGTGGTGTCCTGTTACGTCTGCATGTGAGTGACCACTTATGAACTCTGGCTGACAGCACCTCCTGTGCGAGTTTGTTCTGAGTGCCTTCTACTATTCTCCTGGCATTCACTCAACAGCTGAAAAGCGCATCGAGAACTGGCTCTCCTTTCCACATGCGAGTAATTAAGTAAACTGTGTGAACCAATTAAAAAAAAAAAGTAACTTAAAAATCCCGTGATATTGGCCTTCTGATAAGTAAGTATTAGTGAACTTAACACAGTGATTCTCAGTGTGTTGCACAATAGAATCACTGCCTAAGTACAGTTCAGTTGTATTTAACTTTCAAATTCAATACATTTGCATTTATTATATAACAACTGTTTCTTTTACACATGTATTTCATTATTTAGGTACCATTTTTATTCAACTTTAAAGTGTAATACAATTTAATTGGATCAGTAGTCTTTTTTTTTTTTTTTTAAGCCCAGTGTTTATGTTCAGACATGAACACATTAATTGCACATTTAGGAGTAAAGTCTCGTTTTTGATGAAATATTTTTCGGGGGTACTTTTTGTTTAAAATGTTTGACAACCTCTGGTTGAATATGAGTTTCACTTTTCAATTTGAACTAATGAAATAAGTGGACTTTTTTTTTTACCATACTCTAATGCACAGGTGTCAAGGCCCGGGGCGGCTGATCCGGCCCGCCACGTCATTTTATGTGGCCGGCCGGAGCAAATCATGTGTGTCAACTTTCATGATCCTTGCTGAAATCTGTACCGAAATGTCAAACTCTCATGGGTGATAAATAACATTGAGATTTTGCACTGGCCCTCCGAGGGAAGCGGTAACTCCGAAGTGGCCCGAGACAAAAAATGAGTTTGACACCCCTGCTCTAATGTAATGAAATGCACCTGTACACCAATAATGTGCTATTTTTCCTCAAGCGTGTACTTAACCTTGAAAGTGTTAACGCTCCTACTACTGCTATTGCTCTCACGCTCTTAACTTTAAAATGAAACACATGCATGGCCAGTCTGTTTGTTTTGTCTCTAGTGTGTTGTGATCCCAACTATCGGGTCTTGGGCCTTATTTGCTTATTCCCACGCCAAAGGGACGCTTCGTTCCCTCTGTGTTGTGGTATGCTATGATGCGCTTGTTCTTATTATATCTGCTCTGATAACTTCACTTTTTTTGTGTTGATCAGACTCAGAATAGTTCAAGTCCGCTCTCCACTTCTCTTCTTGTTGTAAATATGTTAGTCTCATCGCATAATCTCTCAATGTTGTGACATGTTTTCCGGTTCAAAGGCATCAGGTTTGTGTCCAAACTACAGATTCTGATCCTGTGGATGGTGGTTCTGCTGTTTGTCTGACATGAAAGTGTTAAATAGAGAGCACCAGTTCGTTAAAAAAACACAAAATACAACAATATTAAACAGTGAGCCCCTGTTTATCATAAACTTATTAAACACACTTCTAAAAATACTCCTTAGCGCCTGTTCTCACATGCTTGCTGTCAAGAAATGGAAGACGACCATGTAACATCACTTAGAAGAAGAAACGGAAAGGAGAATACTCGCTCACTGGCGCAGCTCTCCAGATAAGAAATCGTGTGCTTGCGTCAAGCTGTTTCCTCATCACTCCCAGTTGACATTTACTGTACAATTGGCATAAAGCAAAAGAAATATTAGACATTGGACATTTGAAATGGTCAGCCAACCCATATCATTTCGTCACGAGCCTAATGCTAACATATAATGTTCCAGTCATTATAACCTTTCAAACAACTCCTTTCACACATGGAGCAGCAACACAACAAACAGGTCCATCGTTAGCCTAAGAACATAATTGCCCAGGTCATTTTTCAACATTTTCAGAAAACAATAAGAGTTCAGTTGCCTCGTACAACCTTTGCACAAGAATAGATGTGGTATTACACTGAAGCCATGCAAGTCTGAATGCGGATTTGCCTGTGTACTGTAAGCCCCCCACATCCCGTTAAAACAAACGATCGCTTCAAAGTCCATGATACAGCGAGTGTTCACTGTATTGCGTTTCATTTACTAGTGAAGAAACACCATCTTTCTCCTGCACTGCCGGGCAAACACTATGTAACCCAGCCTCTATTGTCATTTAAATACAGATTAGAGAGAGCAATAAATGAAGGTTATTTATGAAAATGTGACGTCTCAGATTAAAGTTACTAATAAAACAAGTTGAATGCATTGGTATTCTTCTTCCTCTACCTTTACTCACCTTTAAATCTTTAAATCCAGTCCCATGGGATTTTGACTGTGTGTGTGTGTGTGTGTGTGCGTGTGTGAGTGTGTGTGTGTGTGTGTGTGTGTGTGTGTGTTTTCTAATCTGTTTAGCCTCACAAGAGTCACGGGTGTGCTCGAGCCTATCCCAGCTGTCTTCGGGCAGTAGGTGGGGGAACACCCTGAACTGGTCGCAGGGCACACAGACAAACAACCAGTCGCGCTCACAATCACACTTAAGGACAATTTAGAGTGTTCCATTCACCTGCCATGTATGTTTGTGGAAAGTGGGAGGAAACCGGATTACCCGGAGAAAAACCACACAGGCATGCCACTCCGGAATTGAACCCCAGATTTCTACAATGTGGGGCAGACATGTTAACCAGTGGTCCTCCATGCTGCTCGGAAAAAAAACACAAAAAAAAAAAATCAATTTTAAAATCTATTGATAATAGCATTTTAAATATTTTGGGGGTTACAGACTTTCTTAGTGTATTACCCCTATGTGAAACAGAAAATACCTCTGGTAAGTATGATTGTGATTTATTTGTTTATTTACAATATAAATTGGTTCTCCTTCCGGGGATTGAAAATTAGATCAAACATTTTCATAAATACTTTGTTTTGCAGTAATGTTGTTTTTATAGAAGCATTTTTATTTAAGGAATTTCCTTCCAGGGATTAAAAATAAAATTAGATTAAAGTTTGTCTGATGAATAAAAAAAGCGTACTTTGTTTTAGACTCATATCTGTCTCTCTCTCTTTTTTTTGAAATACATGTAATCATCTTGCAAATAAAGTTACCTCTGGGTATTTCAAATTAATTTAAGTTAAAATATTAGTCTACTTGTAATAATTACAAATAAATACTCTGTTTTACAGACAAAACAAAGGTCTCAAAATATATACACATATTTTTAAAATAGAAATTATGCATTGAATTTCCCTCCAGAGATTAAACATTAAGTTAGAAAAAAAACAATTAGTACAGTAAAAACAAACAACTATTTAGTTTTGGAGTTGAGAAAACTGGCATTACAACAGCAAACTGGAAAGTTTTTAAAAATTGGACATGCAAGAAATTCACATCTTTATATATCAGTATAAAACAATCTAACAACAAATGAGTTATTAAAACATGTTAAAGTAAAGAGTCAGAATAAAATATGTTCTGCTTTAAAATACTTAACAAAAAAAAACTCAAGGCTCAAAATTGCTTAACTCTAAAAAAATCATTTCTTTCAATTCAGAACTTAATTTGAAACTTAATATTTCACTGATTCTTTTTGAGATGTGGAATGTTTTGAAAGCCGTTTTTTTACTCTAAATTTTATTGGGATATTTTTAAATTTTGATGCTAAAACTCTTTTGCGACGTAAAAACTCCCTTGCAATGTTTAATTGTTTTACCCTGATTTTGGTCAGATTTAGCAGTTTTACAGCAATTTTATTTTCAAACAAAATGTTTTTTGTTTTTTTTTTACACTCAATGTATTTCAACCTTTTTGATTTTCATAATCAAGAAACCCCTCTGTGATATTGAATGGTTCTACATTTTTTTCCATACTGTGGCTGTTTTGCGATGTAAAAAAAGTGATTTACACCGAGATGATTTTTTTAGGCTTTTTTTCACTGACTGATCTAGTTTAAAAAATTGGAATTCATTTCAAAATAAGTCAATGGATGCATTAAGTATTTTCTGGAAATGTAATTGTTAAAAAATTAAAGTTTGGGCTTAAGGGTTTTTATGCAAAATAATTCGAACTGAGATAGCTCAGCTATAGCACCTCCAGCAGTGGAGTTGTTTGACTCGTGCCATCTGGTGGATCTGGAGAAAAGCAGGTTGCCCCGCCCCTTTGCCGACATTCTCCAATGTGCCCTAGCAACCGGGGCCGAGCCCCCAGTTCCCGCGTAACGTTCCCATCCTTATATGGGCAGCAGAATGCAGACGTACGCCAACGTCAGGGTGTCGCTTATGCAAATGAGGACGATTGAAGAATCACACCACGGCCTCCAAAATGGAGGCGTGTAAGGGCGGCGCATGCGCACTCGCGTCCACAACTCTCCAGTCCAGCCCACAAGCGCAGACATCAACAAGAGACGCCGTAGTCCTGTTTGAAAACACAAACCCTGTACGGAATACTACTTTTGTTTTCGCCAACTTTTCACAACTTTGGACGGTAAGCGGGATGTTGTCTTTTTACTTCATTTTATTAAGTGTTTGTGAAACATAAACCGGCGCGTTTGGAGTCTTCGGACGCTTAAACCGTATAATTTGACATTAAACTCTTCTTAAGTTGTGTGCTTTCTCTGCGCCTCAACAACCGTTTAACGCATGACTCGCCGTTCATGGGGTTGAAGTTGGATTTTAAGTGTAGAAAAACGTCTAAAATGTTTTTTTAAGAAGAAACTGAACGAACTGCATTTCGCACGCACGCAATGGCTGTTGTTCGTGGGTCGATGCAGCTGGCGACCGGGGCCGGGGGGGCGGGGATGGTGTTGGTGAGAGCTGGGTGAAGGAACCACTCCAAAATGCCGATTGCAGTCGGTTTTTGGTGACGAATAGTTGTATCAATGCGTTTGTAGACGTGATTAGGTGCACATTGTAGCGCTGGTGGGGCGTGTGTCCCAACCAAGTTGGAGGAGCTCTCACGCCCACCCGTGTGCGGGAGCACGCGGCACCAGGCTGTCAACAAAACAAGCTAACAGACACACCAACGTGCCCGCCAAATGCTACACTTTAAAAGCTCCCTTAATGCTGTTTAACGTTTTTGAAACCGACGGCTCAGCATATTTGACGGTGCTTTGAAGTCGAGAAACATTGAAGTGGACGCTGTAAAATACTTAAAATCAAATTACACCACTGCCTTTTTTTGCAGAGGGTGAAAACGTGTTAGATTTACGCCTATCTAACTACTTGGTGCTGTAAAACGAGGGAAACGTCGAGAACACGAAGCGTGTTTTTTTTTTTTTTTTTTTTTTAAAGATGGGTGCGCATGAGCCATGTCGTGTGGCTCGCCATGCTGCCTCGGCCCAAGAGTGGGCGGTGGAAAACAAAATGACGACTTAACACTTTTCCTCTCAAGGAAAACAAGTCGTGGTAGCGATAAGGATGTGGACGCGATAGTTTTGGTGGTGATTTGTGGGACTTTTAAAAAGGCGTGTGAGGGATATTACAATTATATTTTCGTTAGTTCGCATAACATCTCCTTCCGCCACGCGCTCCTTCCGCCGCCTTTCGTGTATGTGGTGCGTGTTCGTTGCCATGTTGAAGTTACGTCACAGGAATAGTCTGCTGCGGAGATCGCGCGCGTCTGTGAGGATGCTCCACTCCGCAGACAATTTTACAGCTCGACCTTGTGCGTTGAGTACCACGGTGCTTTAACTTAAAAACTTTTAAGTCTGATTCCAATTATGTCGGGACGTTGTGTTAAAATAAATAAAAACATAATACAATGATTTGAAAATCATGTTCAACCTATGTTTAATTGAATACATTGAAAAGGCAAGATATGTAATGTTCAAACAGATAAACTGTTGTTTTTAGCACATAATCATTAATTTCAGGGCGGTAACACGCTGGGACTGGGCTTTTTAATTTTTTTTTTTTTTTTACAAACACTGTGTTACATCACCTTTTCTTTTAAAAGTATTCAATATTCAATAAACGTTTGGGTGCTGAGGACACTAATTGTTGGAGTTTTTGTTAGTGGAATTCTTTTCCATTCTTGCCTGATGTACAATTTCAACAGACCAATGTCTCCGTTGTCGTATTTTGCGCCTCATAATGCACCACACATTTTCAATGGGATACAGGTCTGGACTCCGGAGTCTAGTAGGACACGACATCCACAATTTCAAATGTGCACTCGTCAAACCACACAACAATTTTCCACTTTGGATCAGTCCATCTTAGATGACCTTTGGCCAAGAGAAGCCAGCAATGTTTCTGGCTGTTGTTGAAAAATGGCTTTTGCTTTGCATAGTAGAGTTTTAATTCACACTTACGGATGTAGCGACGAACTGTATTCCCTGACTTTGGTTTTCTAAAGTGTGCCTGAGCCCGTGGAGTGATATCCTTGACACACTGATGTCGATTTTTGATACACTGTCACTTAAGGGATTGACGATTACGGGCATTCAGTGTTGGTTTTTGGCCTTAACACTTACATCCAGTGATTTCTTCAGATTCTCTGAACCTTTTCTTATATCATCTACAGTCCGTAATATCATTATGGACTGTAGATGATGAAACCACTAAATTTAATTTATTGTATTTTGCCTCATCGTAATCCCTCTACCTATCTGCCTAGCTATCTGGCTATCTATCTTCAACATTCAGAACAAACGCATATACTGTATGTCAGAAATGATTTTCGCAATTATGCTATTAGGCCAAAGTTATTTTAATGTGCATACCATTAATTGTGGCGTCATGCATGTGTACTAAGTTCTAAAGCATTTTATTTTTATCAGCACAGTGGACAGAAACAACAGTCACTTTATTATGTCATGTGATTGCAAAACAGTGATAGTTATTATTTGAACTCTTTAAACCAATGTTGCCACTCGTATTGTCACAACAATAAAGCAGTGAAGGTCACAGCTGTCCAAAGTTTTACTGCATTTGCACTTGACCTTTACTTTATCACTGGATGTTAAAATGTGTTTCCTCACAAACATTTTGACCTTCAAGATTCGATTTGACTGCATAGTGTACACGAGGAATTCGGGGCTTTCATTATTTAAAAAAAAAAAACACACTTACTCCTCAGATTTGCCATCTTAAAAATGCCACTTTGTTGTCTAAATGTGTCAAACCAGTTGATGAGAAGTCAGTACAGTATTCTTTTTTTTTTTTTAAATCTCTGAGTAGAGTAAAGCAACACCGCACTACAAAAAGACACTTCTTTTTGCTACCCTCTAATGATTGAGGAAGGCAGTAATTACTTTTAATTAAAGATATTTTCTAACAATTGTATTGCAGAAAAGAATAATGTTTGTCATCTCATTTAAGTGTGTGACAGGACAAATATAAAATTAGAAAAATTGCATTTTTGCAAACAAAGCCAAATCTAGTAAACACCTTACTTGATCTATGGCGGATACTCTTTCCAGTCGCAGAATTTAGTTATTTCAACTTTTTCGATCCATGGGCAGAACATATTGTAATTTGCAATGCTGACCCGGCCGAAAATAAACAGCACATCTCAGACATCTGTTCCCATTAGGGCTATTAATTTTATTAAATTCTTTTGTTTTACCAATGTGTCACAGTAAAGAATAATGTATATCATTTTAAGTGTCATTGTTTTGTGAGAAAACCGATTCATATATAATTTTACACGGTCCAAATAAAGGCCTTCCCTGGAGCAAACCCCTACAGTAGCCTCTTGAACCATTGCAAATATTTCAAGTTAGAAAAACATCTTGTAACACGCCACCAAACAAAAATGTCTCAAGTGGGCACACAGTTAAATTATGTACCGGTACCTTCTGCTATTTAGTGGAAGAGCATTTCATTGTTCTGCCTGTCACTGTACAAAGTCGGTATTGATAGATGAACAAGGATATATTATAAAATAACTTGTGAACCAAAGTTTGGGGGTTGGGGTGAATAATGAAAATGTTCCCTGTGAAGTGTGGTCTAATCTAATGTCATTTATTACAAGCACCTGTGTATTATTCTATTATTCGCCTCTATGCGTATACCTGACTTTAACCGGTGTCAGAAATACACATCAGAGTGTGCTGTCTGTGTCTTGTGGCATCTCTGTGGTTTCATACTGTCAAAAGACCCCCTAGGATTGATGGCAAAACACACACACACACACACACACACACACACACACACACACACACACACACACACACACAGTGTAAGGGGGTGCGGCTTTGCACGTTTTGCCGCAGTTGTGCTCACCATGTGCAGTGGAGACTCCAGTTTTGCCTAGCAACATAGCGGCATCCCTCTACAGTGGGCGTGCTCATTGCATTCATAATCATTGTTGGACTTTTCGGTCCACGTAAACCTCCCCCTGCAGCTTGGGCGTGCGTGCCTTATAATATTTTGGCCGGGCCAAAACCAAAGCATGCATGCCGAGAGCGCAGCATGGTGACATGATCTGTCTGACACGCTGTCTGACTGTTGACCTACTTCCCCCACACACACATCCAACAACACTATGCAGCCCATGTGGGTCACAGCAAGGGATGCAAAAAAAAAAAAATGTATTTAGGGCTCTGTTCGTGACTAAGCAGCACATTTTGGGATTAATTGACATGTGAAATAAATGCAATAAAAACAGTGTGCTGGTTATGACTTGCCTTGGATTTTCCCTAAATGCCCAATTTCAATTTAATATCGAATTAACGTTCCATTTCAAAGGATTTTATCCATTCCATACACTTCAAACACATTGAAACATATCAACAGGCACTTTTTAAAGTGCTCAGCGATTGTTCTCATTTTTGCTGTTAAAAAAGGGGCAGTGTTGAATTAGTATCACTTCAAAGAAATAAAAAAATGACACAGCAAGCACAGTTTTTCAAATAAGAGCTCAAGTGTGCCTGCTCCGTTATATGTTACTCTGTTTAAGTCTACTGTAAAAATGGCAAATAAAACAGAAAGAGAATTAAGCAATGCAAACTTAAACCACAAAGTGTTGATGTTTCATCTGACTAAAGTCTGCTCCGTTAATGCTCACATGTATTGCAAAATGCCATGAACGGACTAATGGGAAGGGGCATGGATGTTGTGGTCATTACTGTAGGTTACACTAAAATTGCTAACAAAAGCCAACAATTCATGTCAAGGATTTGAAAATTACATAAAATTATAAAATTACGGCATCCAATTTTTGTCAATTTCACATTTTCACAAACCGATATTGTTGGTCAGGCGCCTCAGTGGTCTGTTATTTTTGCAAATGAATTGCCAATCTAATACATAGAAAAGAAACTTGCTCTCTTTCACCATGTAATGTCAACCGCTGAACCAACATGCCACATTTTTTTTTTTTTTTTGCACTTTTGAGATGCAGGAATTCAGCCATATCCCTGGCATAAGAAATATTCGTAAAGCTTAGCATTATTGAAATGACTCAACTTTTCTTTGAAAGTTGCACTGTCTGTACTTCTGCTATATTTTGTCTACAGTGGGTGTTTTTAAACGTGTATATTTGTTGTCTGGGCAAATGTGTGTGTGTGTTTGTCACCAATCGGTGTATGTATTTCAATGACGTCATTGACGGGCTGTAACATCTTTTGATTGTGTTTTTCTTTGCTCGCAGATGTTTGGCTTCCACAAGCCAAAAATGTACAGGAGTTTGGACGGCTGCTGCATCTGCCGCGCAAAGTCGTCCAGCTCTCGCTTCACTGACAGCAAGCGTTACGAGAAAGATTTCAGGAGCTGTTTCGGGTAAGTGTAGACCGCGGGGAGAAGCGTGAAAGACGCGTGGCACTTTGTCATCCCCTAACGAGATACCTTGCAGATTGAGCGAAATGCGATCTGGAGAGATCTGCAACGCTTGTGTGCTCCTGGTGAAGCGATGGAAAAAGCTACCGGTGGGAACCAAGAAGAACTGGAATCATGTGAGTACACCCGGGGAGAAGTGATCATCTATCACTCCAGTAGATCGGTGGGAAGCGTTCACAACTCAACTCGGAAAAGGCTTGATCCCCTCTGAGCCTCCGCTTAGTTCTCGGTACCTCTAGACTCACCTGCAATATTAGGTGAAATTCTGTGATGCTAGAGACGTTACAGAATGTTGTGGCTCTACATGGAATGACACAGAAGGCACCAAACTCTAAATTCCGCCTTGTCTGTATGTTGTAAAAACCCATAGAAAAAAAAAAAGATCACCTACAAATCTGTGACATAGCAAGTCAACGCTGTTCTTTCATGAGTTTGAATGACTTCTCGTCTCTGCAGGTGGTCGATGCTCGAGGTGGTCCTAGTCTAAAGTTGACCTCCAGGCCCAAGAAGATCAAGTCCATTACCAAGAAAGCCCGTCCAAGCCAGATCAACAGGCTGCAGAAAGAGCTCAAAAGAAACAGTTAATTATGCCATTTTGGTTTCTGTGTTTAAACTTCAAACGTAGTGTGTATTGTTTCTTTACAAAGTGACATTGGTGTGAAATTTCAGTATGCTCCTCCAAATTTGTGAATTTAATTTGACCCTCCTGTGAGTTTTTGAATGGATGGTTGTTATCTCTAAAGCTTTGGCTCATCAATGTGTCACCCACCTTAGATTCCGACGCCCACAGCACCACATCCAGCGCTTCCCCGGCTCAGTCTCCCAGCTACAGCAACTTGTCCGACGACGGCTCCGACACTGAGCTGAGCCGACACGGGTCTGGCCGCTCGCCTGTCTTCTCCTTCCTGGACCTCACCTACTGGAAGAGGTACAGTACTTTTAACTGCTTAAGCGGTAACTGATTTTTAAAGTGTGTGTAATCGTAGGCTTTTTTTTTGTGCTAATTGGTTGTGAAATGGCCACATTTTCTTTTTTGATGCCCTGTTAATAATGCGCTATAATTTGTTCTTAAAATTTGAACGCAAGCAAAATTTTCATCGACTTGCACCTGTGCAATTTGCATATTTTTTTCCTCTTTTTTAATTACTCCGCTTGAGTATTTGTTGCCACACTTGATCCCATTTATCAGCAATATCGTGAAAACTTTACTTCGCAAGTCAACTGATAGTGTATGCCCCTAAATTATCTACTTTGTGCTCTTAAAATTTCAGGTTAGGGGCCACTGTACTCTTAGTTTAAAAAAAAAAAGTTTGGAGATCTGATGTGAAAGACCCTTTGCATTGATTTTTAATGAAAAAGTTAAGATGGTAAATGTCTTTAATCTTAGTTTTGTACATTTTACTGAGCAGATTCAAAGTATGTTGGTGTATATTTGGTGAAATCACAGTTGACAAGTCAAATTTGAAGCATTTTTAAAACGTAAACTACTCGCTAATAAAAAAAAAAAAAAAAAAAAAAAAATACTGTCATTTCCATGTACTGCTGTGTTAGAGTAAATAAATGGCATGGCTGATGTGAAAGTAAACATTTTAGTCTTCCCATAATTGACTGTGAAATATTTACATCAAAATTATTGTGAAAGAAATGCAAATGGTAGCCTGCAATTTATTGTGAGTTTAGAGCCCCAAATTTTACAGTGCCTACTTGGATTTTCATCATCTGCCGCATAGCCGCACCAAAAGGGGGTTGCGATTACCTGTAAATACCACAACATGGTGGCAAAGCAATTGAAACGGCGAGGATCATAAAACATCACCATGTATTCATGTTAGACAAATAACGAATTGGCGACTGTCTCCTTGTTTTATACAGACAAAAGGTGTGCTGCGGAATCATCTACAAGGGTCGCTTCGGTGAGGTTCTGATCGACCCCCACCTGTTCAAGCCGTGCTGTCGCAAGAAGCAGCAGCAACAGCAGCAGCGGCAAGAGGAGGAGGATGAAGAAGAGGAAGAGGATGATGACGACGACGTGGAGGAGGAAGAGGTGGAAGTCGAGGGGGGCCTGGAGGGAGGTGTGCCCGTCAGCCGGGTGACATCCCCGTCCGAGGAGGAGCAGCAGGTGAAGGAGACAGCAGCGGCAGCGGTGGCGGCAGATCAGCTACGTGTCACCGTGGTGACAACATCAGAAGAAGGCTGGTAAAGTCGCAAAGGTCTCCTGCACACGTCTCCACCGTCCTCCTCGAGCACTTGCAAGGCGCCTCACAACGCCTTCGGTGATGTAAAGCAGCTGAAAATCTTCTGGTCTTCTCCGTCACAATGCTGGAGATTTGTTTTCTGTAATAGAGCAGTGTTTCCCAACCTTTATTGAGCCAAGGCATATAGTTTACAATATTAAATAAATAAATAAAATAAATAAAAAAGTACACTACCAAACAAAAAACGTAAACAAATGAAATACACAGGTTAATTATATACCTTCTTTCGTTGTTCTGCCTGTTACCATATGTCATTGGCATAGATAGATAAATGTATATATATATTACTTTTGGTGAATGAATATGAATTTTCAGGTCAATGAAGTGAAATTGGATCATTTCCTGTGACACACCAAATGATATGTAGGGTTCCAAAGGGGGTGTACATTTTCCAGTAAAGTTCCCCAAAGTTTCCGGTAAATCTCCAGGAGTAGTTCAACTGGGAAATTTCAGAAATCTTGCAGTTTGGAAAGTTTCTGTCCAAATTACAGTGGTGCCTTGCGATACAATTTGAATTTGTGTCATGACCATGCTCGTACCTCTCTCAAATCAACCCTTTCCCCGTTGAAATGAATTGAAATGCCATTAATCCGGTCCTGCCTCTACCCATCAGAAATGCTCGTCACGTGTTTTTTACTAAGTGGAAGATAGCAATCTGTAATATTGTACTTTAGAAATAACATACAGTATATTAATAACATCATTACAATATAAAGAATTCAGTCGTTTGTGCTCATGATTAATCAATTGTGACTCCTTCTGGACGACTTGGCCACTGAGAGCAGTTATAATGCAGTCATGCAGACACAAACGGAAGATTTTTTTGATGACTGCGCCTGACTCTGGCGGCACTAATATTAGTCATTTATTTGAGGAGGATAAAGAACACATGCCCGTTAGTAAAGTTATATTCTCTGTCTACATGTGTTGCTGCACAGTATGTGTTCAAATATCCGTTGCTTAAAGCCTTTTAACACCGCCATAGAAGCTAGTTGTTAACCCATCGATGGTCTAAGTACACCATGTGTAAAACTCTTTTTGTTTTATGATTAGTTTGACACTAACTTCAACCGGAGGTGGCGGTAAACGTGAATATTTCCCTAGCTAGTTGTGCGAAGAGTTGAGTTGCATTCATTGCCACCAGTTCTCATATCTCACATTTTTGCATGCAAGTCAAACAAACAAAAACTGCCGGATTATAGCTTGTATCTCAAAACTCCAATGTCGCATCACTTGTACTTCAAGGCACCACTGTAACTGCGAGATGAGGATAAGTTAAAGGAAAGTTTGCATATTCAAGCATGAATATAATGTGTTTTGTTTTGTCATAAGCATGCGTCACGACACGACATTTTCACAAATTTATTTGTGAGTCAAACTTCAAGTTAAAGTTCCCTGTTTGGAGCCAATCATCAATTTCGTTTTGTCGGTTTTCAACCCGACCGCCACGGCATTATTGGTTGGGAGTCACTGTATTAGGCAGTTAACGTATGAACTTTCATGTCTTTCATCTTGTCCTATTTCATAGTCTCGCCTTCCTGACAAATGGACCATCACCTCTCGTGTTTCTGTTTTTTTGTCTTTAGACTCATGCTGGACTTTTAGTTTGCGGGTATGTTTAGATTTCACAATGCAATACAGTCGATCCCCGTTTCTTCCGCAAGACCTCGGTGCTACTTTGAGGTTCATCAACCAACTTTTAGGATGTAGACCTCAAAAGAATGAACATTCACAGTGCATTTAGACGATGAAGACAGCCCTCTTCACATGTAGAAAAAAAAAATCAAGAGACCTTGGGAATAATTTTTTTTCCCATGTGTTCACATTCTATCTCGCTGTAATCCAGAATGACTGACAGTTCAGAGAAGTTTTTTTTTCCCACTCCGTTCCTCAATGTAAACGCCAATTGAGCATTTATTTGACATCCAATATAAGGTCCACGTACTCGTACATGCTTTGTCCTCCCTTGTATGACAGTTCAGCACATGAGTAAAATGACTAGTGAAGTTGTTTTTCGCTACTCTAAGGTATATGACAGTCCTGAACACCACTAGGACAACTTTGGCACACCAGTAGGACTATATGTTACTGGTCACTGAAGTGTTGACTAGTTTGCTTTTGTCACTAGTTGCTCGCAGTTGTCATCTAGTGCACAGTTTTGCCTCACTAGTATCATGCAGTTGCCCTACTAGTTTGCCAAAGTTGCGCAACAAGTGAGGACAAAGTGCATACTTGTACAAGATCTTAAACTGGACTTAAACGGATGTCGGAAAAAGTGCTCCAACGGTGGCCTCTCCCTACTCCCAGAGTAAGTTAAGTGATGCCCACTCCCGTCAGAGTTGGTGTTTGTGGACCGGATTAGTTAAACGTGTGCGCAAACACTGGGCTGCGCTCCAGTTTGAAAGCAGGCCTATTCACAGCTTCAACAGCAAATGCACCAGCCTTACTCACGCGTGCGTCACACACACACCCCGCACGTAGTGTTCATTCCAAATCAGTTTCGAGGAACAAGAGCGAGATACCGAAGGGAAAAAAAAGGGACAGTCGTGGTTATTTATTGTGGCCTCAGCAACACGGAGTGCATTTTTTTTTTTTTTTTGCATGACCAGCAACGCCCACTCATCCAAAAGACCCCCACGATCTGATGCGTGAGTCGACGAAATTGCACGGCCTTACATAGAGTGTAAATCGTACTTTTCTTTTTTTTTTAATTATTGTTTTTATTTTGGATCAATTTCTCTGATGAGATTATTTTTGTATGTAAAACAGAAAAAAAAAACTAGAAACGTGGAAAAAAATAGAATTGTCTTTGCGTCACAATAACACAACATGGCAGCGAAAACAGAGAATCAACTTAAGGTTAGCAATATCAATATCACTCTTTTCTGTCATTCCCCGGTCAGTATATGATATAAAAGTAACTTTATACAAGCTTATGAAGAGCCGTTCCAACATTTATTCACTATCCTTGATATCTTTGTTCTGTCCATGTACTATGGTCCATGTAGTCCAAAAGTGGCACGAGTAGTGGCAAAAAAATGTTCCTAGTAAGACACAGGTGTTCCACCAGTGGCCTGAATGGTCTTACTAGTAAAGACACAGAGTGTACTAGTACATGGACCTTAACCTGGATATCAATGATAACAAATGCTACATGCTCAAGTGACTTTTTACACAAGCTGAAATTCTATGCCAATGCTCTTATGTACCACAAATGTGTTGTGATACTCGTTTGTTTATGAGGTACGTCCAGAAAACATCTATTTTGTAAAATCTCTTTGATAGAGGTGGATTTTTGTTTTTTGGATGTATTTTATTTCTCACCCTTTTGACATTGCTCACTTGTCTACCGGTAATAATAAATCTTTCTATTATTTTGCGTACCTAGATATTAGGGACACAGCCGAGCAGCTTGCAAACTGACAGATTTCGTCAAATGAAATGTTTTTTTTTAAATTTTTTTTTATATAAATCTGTGTTTATTTAATTTGACAAGTGAGCGTATAAGATGACTTTATTCATCAAGCGGAAGCCAAAGCACATTAAAAATCCCCCCCAACAATGTCGAAGGCAATGCAGGTTTTTTTATGGACACTTGTGCTTGTTCCAGGTCATTTGTATGTATGTTTATGTCATTCTTAAAAAAAGGAGAAAAGAAAAAAATAACACTAATATGAAATTTCACATTGTAGTCGGGAAGCAGCGGGTAGGTTATGTATATATTACAAGGCTGGGTGGGCCCTGATGGGGTTTGTTTATTTATTTATTTCATATTTATTTTCTCTCGTTGCATCCCTGCTTCTCGAGTTCGAATACTTGCTTTGAATTCTTTCCAGCTTGAGCGTCCGCATCCTGAGGTTCATTAGCGCAAATTCTCTCGTGACATTTGCATCACATCAAATGACTAGGTTGTCCATACTTGTGAAGTGTTAAATATTTATTTCCTTGTCATTTGACTCGTGTACAACCTAACTTATTATCTGCCGTCATCACTTTTAGATGTGTGTCAACGTAGACTGAGCAGCTGGTAGATTGCAACCAAACTGTATTCCACTCCCTCTGTTTTGAGCTTTAGAGAACGATCACTAGGATCCGCCGCGCTAGACTTTGCATGTATTGTTTGCTATGCATTTATTTCGCTTACACGTTAGATTAAGCGCTTTTGTATTTTTTTATACATCATGTACTTTTTTTACTTGTTCCTTAATAAAAGTAATTTTGTGAGTTTTACGGGAATGTTTCATGTGAATTTGTCTTTAGAACACATATACACAGTTGCATGCGGTGGTGGTTTTTGGTGTGATGATGGTGGCAAGGGGGGGTGCAGCAATGCCTCACCCAAAAGAGTTCGTTTTCTTTTGGCATTGTGAAAAGTACAGAATCGTTGTTACTATTGAGAGCTTGTCCCCCCTCCCCGTCCCCATGTGAAGACATAGGGTTTTCAAGAATTTTGCTAATATACATAGAGAGGTCATTGATGTAAAGGAAGTTCATCATTGTTCAAATTTCTTTGAATTGGGGGTGGGGGGGGGACTACAGTTAGCTCAGTTTTGGTAAACAGTGCCTGGGAGTGCCATGCCTAAATACAAATTGTGTTGACTTTGTTAGGATCACCACTGGTTGCAAAAAGAGTATGCTGTAAATCCAATTTTTGGACTAATTTGTTGTAAACTGTGATGTGCGCTTTGTGAAAATCACTACAATAGACAAGGCACACTGCAATATCCTATGGGCTTTATTCTGGCCTTCTGCATTTACCTCACTTCCCTTTTTTGAACCATTTTAGCAAATGCAATGAAACGAAACTTTCCAATGGTGGAGACAACTTCAACTTTTTAAACAGTAATATCAGTAATATTCAACTTAGATCAACATGTATGTTTTGGCTCTACGTGACAAGAACTGTGAGGTTAGTTTAAAGTCATGCAGTAAAAAACTAAAATAAAAACAAGAATTCACAGAAAAGGTGAAAGACTATCCATCTATCCATTTTCTAATACGTTTATCCTCAGGAGGGTCGCGGTCGTGGTGGAGCGTATGCCGGCTGTCATCGGGCAATAGGCGGGATACCCCTTGACCTGGTGGCCAGCCAATCGCAGGGCACACATAGACGGACAACCATTCCCACTCACACTCGCGAGAGTGTTACATTAACCTGCAATGCACGTTTTGGGGATGTGAGAGGAAACCTGAGTACCCAGCAGGCACGGGGGAGAACATGCAAACTCCACACAGGAAGACCGGAACAGGAACGGAACAATGCACTTCTGCATGTGAGGCGGACGCACTAACAGTCGATCACTGTGCCGCCTCAAGTGAAAAACTAATTCAACCGAAAAAAAACTGAGATTCGTGTTTTTTTTTTCATTTTTGGCTGATATTCTGTTACCATAATCAATAAACGAACACAAAAAAAAGAGAATTTATTTTTAAGTGAACAAATTTACAAACTTGGCAGGGAATTACAAAACACTGATGGCGTCCTCTGTCGTGTGTGTAGTGTCCTAGTAGTGTGCCACCTCTACGTTTTTACACGGAGGTGAATTTTGAGAAATACAATAAGGATCATAAATAAAGAAATGCGTATGGAATATCGTTGTATTAATCTCATTTACCGCCATACTGAAGGTTTTAAAATTTGATATTATATAATGGCCTAGAAGTGCTTTTCATGAAAATATGTTACACATTAAGTGTGACTGTAGAACTCCGTTGATGTAGGTAGGTGACGGATTTACGTACAAATTCGCGTTATGGTTTGTGTATATTGTTTTTCATTATCTTCTCTCTTGAATTTATATCGTATTACTAGTCGCGTCCAAGAAAGAAGGGGAACTATATAAAAGGAGACACCACCGGACATGTAACCCTCGTGACTGGAAGTGGACAAAAAAAAAAAAAAACATGGAACGACTTTGTTTTGATTTCGCCTGCAGCTACCTGTGTAACGTTTAAGGTTCCCAAATACGGACATTCATCAATACAAACATTTTCTGAGGAAACCGAGGTAGATATTCCCATTTTTTGTGCGTTGATTGTTATTTTTGCGTCCTTAATTAAGTTAGCCTTCCTTTAGTTTAGCAGCAGTACTGCGGTCAAATAATGATAGCTAAATTAAGAATCATACTTCGAGTCGTTCAACCGTAACTCAATTTAGGCTGACAGAATAGATATGAATAAAACGACCTTGTAATAGCACTGTGTTTTCTTCTGTAGTCTACACACTTTTCAATTGCCCGGTTTTGTACTTTTTATGAAACACAACAACCAAACAAAACAACCTGTACAACTCAACGGAATATTGGGGAAAATCTATTCGACAGGGTACATATAAATACTCTCATACACTCCCAGAACTGATGTGGCGTTGTTAAAAAGTAACCAATCCTATTCAAACTCATGTTAAATGAGCACATACTGATACCTGCTACCATTTGCAATGCTTTTTATATAACCCCAAATAAGATTCAGCTGCTGTAGTAAGGCTTTACTATTTAAAAAAAAAAAAAATATATATATATATATATACACACACACACACACACACACACATTTTTTTACTTTTTTTAAAGGATTGAAGGTTATCTGTTTACACTGACTGCTATTTCGTAGTGTTCTCTATCTAGAGCTTCATCATGGTGGAGCCCAGTGCCTCCGGCGTGTTCTGCAGCCGGATGCTGAGCATGGTCAATTCCGAGGACGTCAACGCCATCATCCAGGCTCAGCGACACATGTATGTCACATTCACAATCAAAACTGTCTTTTGTTACGAGCTACAGTCTGTTTTATTACAACTCTTCTGTGCTTTCATTCAGTGCCAAGTTAACACTGAAGTACAATTGTACCTTGACTTAAGTGTTCACTTATCATAACTCAGTTTAATCATTTATCCACATTGAAATGTGAGTGGCACCACTCTGGAGCCTTCAACAATACTGTGTATTGATAACTCTAGTACATTTGTTAAATCAAATTTCAATTAACACCATGAGAATTTAATGTGAACAAAGACCTTCCTTTCTTTCTCTCCCTGTGATTGTTCTGTTCTCACCAGCAGTTGAGTTACTTACTTACTTGAGTTCACTAAATCCAGTTTAAGCAGGAAATTGTTTTGGGACTTTGTGAAACTAACACACAAAATTACAAATTACAAATATATGAAAGCACAAACATGTATGCAACTGGTATCGCATCACACTTTGTATAATGTACACAGGTAAGTACAGTAAACTGGCTATGTTGCCTGTGCTGCATTCATAAGGAAAAACATTCCTTATTAATGCACTGGACAATAATAACATTCCTTTATTCTGAATAACATTTTTTTTATTCTCATCCGATGAAAGCAGGTAAATTTGTTAAAGTATATGTTGGAGATATTGTAATGCTTAGTCATATTACCGAAGTTGAGTTAGCAAATAAACATACGTTTTGTTAGCAACACACTCATAATGCAATCTAAGCATTGAGCAATCATGAACACGCACACAAAAACTACATCTATCGATCGATCGATCGATCTGTCTGTCTGTCTGTCTGTCTGTCTGTCTGTAGACAGACAGTTACAAGAAAAAGTATGTGAACCCTTTGCTGTTTGCGCGCACACACACGCACACACACACACACACACATCATCCATCCATCCATCCATTTTCCGATCCGCTTTATCCTCACAAGGGTCGCGGGGGGTGCTGGAGCCCATCCCAGCCGTCTTTGAGCAGCCGGGGGACACCCTGAACCAGTTGCCAGCCAATTGCAGGGCACACAGAGATGAACAACCATCCGCGCTTACGCTCACACTTAGGCACAATTTAGAGTGTTCAATCAGCCTGCCATACATATTTTTGAAATGTGGGAGGAAACTGGAGTACGCGGGGAAAACCCACGCATGCATGCATACATACATATATAAACACACACGTATGTGAGTATTTTTTCCCTATCAGGCTGGATCGCTTTGAGAAGACCAACGAAATGCTGATCAACTTCAACGGGCTGTCCAACGTGCGACTGCAGCAGATGAATGAGCGCTTCTTGCTCCACACGCGCACCCTCGTCGAGATGAAGAAAGATTTGGACAGCGTTTTCCGACGGATCAGGTTGGGTCATTTAAAAGAGTGCAGTCCAACATCCGGCCCTCGGGCTATTGCCATTGTTACTTATTCCAGTGACAACATTAATAGAGCTTGCAAAAAAAGATTATGAATAAATATAACATTTTGCTTTTCATTTTTAAGTAGTGTTGAGTTTTTGTTGTTGTTGTTTTTGGTTTGAACTGTAATGTGCAATACATTTTGCTCTTCCATTTTTCTCTATGTGGCCTTCAATGGAAACATTTTGGACATTGCCGATTTAAACAGTATTTTTTTTTTTTTAATTTTTCAGGACGCTCAAGGGGAAGATTGGCAAGCAGTACCCAGAGGCTTTTAGTAGTAAGTTAACGTTTGTGTATCCATGTCATATACAATTTCAAGGCGCTAAAGGGTTAACCCTTTCCCTTTATGACAGATTTTCATTTCCATGACAAGTCACAAAACCCCAAACACTAGCAGTAGTGAAGTCAGAATTACCGTACTAAAATACAGTATGTGTATGGAAAAACCTTTGCAAGCCAAAAATATAAAACAAAGCATGACTGTCAGGGAAAGTCAAGTAAAAAAAAAAAAAAAATCTCACCAATAATGCCTTTAATGCCATCCCATTAGTCTAGATACAAAATTCTGATGAATAAAGCCACTGTTTTATCCATCTCAGAAGGCTGTTATTTTGCCACTTGCTGTCAACTGAAAATGACATCATAGTTGCTCAGCTTGTGAATGTCACATGACCAAAGCCAGAAAACAGGCAAGCTGTGATTGGTTGTTACCTGAGCCCTTAGGTACTGTGATGTCATTTCCAGTCAACAGCAAGTGCCAAAATAAGATGCACAAATATGGGTGAGTCTTTTTGCACAAATGCAATGTTCACCAGACTGCTTTGTTTAGACTCGTGGGGGTGCATAGAACATAGTCTTGTCAAGAACTTTTTCAACTTCACTTCCTCTTTAAAAGCATTTTTCACATAGGAAATAATACAAATAGACAGAATGATATGGTGAGGCTTTAAGATACGGGTTGAATTTGCTTCGTGACCACGGTCAAAACAGTTCCCAATAAGAGGTGTATTTTCCGAAAATGGGGGTCAACATCATGGCAACATTGCCTCTGGGGCATTTAGCAGTTTCTCTATATTTTATTTAATTTCCCTGATAATGAAGCCTGAACTACTCTTCTGTGGCCAGACATCCATGAGTCACCCATCCCAGAGGACGACGACGATGATGACTTGGACCCGGCGCCACCAAGTGGAGCCACCGCCATCACCACGGCCACCTCAGGCCAGAGCTCAGATTCCTGCGACTCCAGTCCCGACCTTGTTTCGCCCGCTGCTAGCAGATGTTCTGAAGAGCTCTCCCAAGAAGCGCCCGACACACCCGTTTCGGACACCCATCGGACGGCTGGACTGCAGGATGAGGGCCCAGACTCTGTTTCGGCTGAGTAGCTTCACGTTACATGTAGATGGACTCAAATTCAGTGTTTTTTTTTTTTTTTTAAATACAGTGGTAAGTTGACTTTAAACTTTTTCGAGTTATGAGTCGGTTGAATGAAGTGGGGGGAAAAAATGGAGCAGTTAGAGTACTGTAATGCCCTTGCATGTGGGCAAGGAGAGCGACAGTCGCAGATGCACTTTAAGCAGTTTAGTGAACGGGACACACAGTCAAACACACAAATGGAAAATGAGAACACTCGCAAGGAGCTGCAGAAGGCCACAGCTGAGACCCAGTAGCTTGCACGCAGGCTAAAATTAACCAACTCCAGCTCCTGATGTGACTCACTTGGTCACACCCTCTAGAGACACGCATCATGTTTGTTGTTCAGCATTTGCAAATTTGTAGCTTTTTGGGAGGCTTGGGGGGCCATAATGACAACAGTCAAACTCCAAACTGGAAGGTCGGAACTGGCATTTAAATCCAGAACCTTGGCACTGCGCGTTAGACACGCTCACCAGTCGCACACCATTCTTAGTTCTCTTTATTTGAAATGTATTAGGTACTATTTACAAGTCAAGCTTTCAGTGTCAAAACTATTGTTATTATTATGAATCATCATTGACGATGACAAGTACGCCAATATGCTATGCATGTGCAATTGTGTCTTCACTAAATGGTCCACTTTATACACATGAAGTGGGTCCTTTTTTCCATGTCTTAGGTCGTGTCAAGAGTCACATGGCTCTACTTTGTGATACACTGTACAGTAAAAGCACTAGTGGTGCACGGGTTCCCTCAAGTGGTATGAGAAAGAATAACTTCCAAAGTACAGTCCAGTCGTATATAACTTAAGTTCTATACTATTGCATTAAATATTTTAAAAGTTTTCTAACATGTATTTTGGTACAACTGTGATGTTTATAATCAGTAAAATATTTCAGCGATCTCTATTTTTCAATGTTTTAAACTTTTGAAATTATAGGGCAGGGGTGTCAAACTCATTTTTGTTGTGGGCCACATTGTAGTTAAGGTTTCCCTTGGAGGGCCGTTAGATCTGCCCCCCGCCTTGACTTTGACACATGTGCTATAGGGGATTCCTGGTTAGCAACGGAAAAATGTAACTATGGTGGTGGTGAAACCGGACTTTGTATCTTCTTCCTCTCCTTTCGGCACGTCCCTATTCAGGGGTCGCCACAGCGAGTCAGTAATTTCCATCCGCCCCTGTAAACCGTCCTACCAACTCGCATGGTCGTCTTGGCAAAAGTTTTACGCCGGATGCCATTCCTGACGCAACCCTCCCCATTTCTCCGGGCTTGGGACCGGCACTGGGGAACAGTGCACCCCCAGGGGAGGGCACTGCTCCCCAGCGGCTGGGTTGAAACCGGACTTTGTATGTACAGTAATATTTAGTCCATCACTAACCTCACACAGGACAGGACCTGGCATTAGGCAAACGCCATTGGCTTGGGCCCTGGGCTGTCTAAGGGCCCCAAAACATCTCACATGACATTTTCTTTGATTTTATTATATCCTTACTGTTTTAGTCTTAATGCACTTGAAAAACACCAAAATGCTTAATCTATCATGATCATTATAAATGCTTTCATTTCCTTCTCTTGCCATAGATTATTCCATCTTCCTTCTGTGCTCTGTGCAGACTTGATCCAGGGAGGGTACAACTTGCAAACAATGAAGAAAATGTATCCTAGGGAAGCAGAAACGAGAAGTTGATGATAAAATTCAAAATCTACTGGATGAGGAACAGCCAGGACATGGTTTATCTCGGCACGCCAAATGACTAAATATGCCCCTGAACCCCAAAGGCAGTCAAATTACCGCAAATATTTGTAATTCAAAACCTTCGAGACCAAACGTATAAAACTAAACATTTCCTAAAGGAACTGAGCTTGCTTACTTGCGGTGTTCCGAACCTCGAAACGTCGTATTCACTTGTAGTTCTTTTAGGATTCGCCGGAGGGCGCTACGTTAAAACGTTCGCGGTTTTCGTCTCAAAACAACGAGTCATACAAGCTGAGTCGCAACTACCTTCCTTTCCTTCCCTTTACTGGTTTTTAATGATCGAGTTTGAATTAAACGTTTATCCATTAGCCAAATGAGAGCCTGGGTGTTCTACATAACCGGCTAGCCTAGTTTTCTCACCAATCCCAGCAAGCTCTCAAGCTAGCCGCTGTCATGCTGCCAAACGTCAGCACGTCAAATTGACAGCCCCCCCAACAAAAAAACAAGACGGGTACAGCTACATTCTTTCACGGTCGAAGTGACGCCAAGATGAGGAGACTGAGCAAAAAGAAAGCTTTGACGCTGGTCAGAGAGCTGGACGCCTTCCCCAAAGTCCCCGAGAGCTACGTGGAGTCGTCAGCCAGCGGGGGGACAGGTAAGGCGGACACACATCATCCCTCATCTAGCATGTTGACTTGTTTCATGGAAACATTGTTTTGTCCTCGTCGTTCCTTCCAGTGTCTCTGATTGCGTTCAGTGCCATGGCTGTGCTCTCTTTCCTGGAGTTTTTTGTCTACAGGGACACATGGATGAAATACGAGTACGAGGTAGACAAAGACTTTAGCAGGTACCGACACCAGGGACTCGTATATTTATTGAAATATTGTTTAATGTACTTCAGCTGCTGCTCTTTCTGTTGCAGCAAACTGAGAATAAACATTGATATCACGGTAGCCATGAGATGCCAGTGTAAGTAGTATTCTCTGCCAATCAATAAATGAACATTTATTTAAAGTGACCTTTTCACCACCGCTTGAATCAAACTTTTGAATCGCAGAAGCTCAAGCGGTTCCCGGTTGCACCATTCGTAATCTACCCTTACAAATCATTTGACCGAATAAATTGAGAAAACAGGCTTAGTAGCTAGAATGATGGTTTTAGCTTTCTCAATCAATACCCATTGCTTTGTTCAAGTCAAAAGCATAAATGAAAACAATTTGGGGGCGAATTATAATTGATATCAGATTGTCTTAGAAATATCACACCAGACACATGACAACACTCAACTCAACATAAATATAAAAGCCTCTTAATTAATAAACTAAAACCATATCTTTCTCCAGAACTAATGCGCCGAACCAATAAATCACCCTGCAGAAATATGCAGTGCGGAGCATTCCTAAGGTTGTTTTTTTTTGGAATACACCCATAATTTATTTATTCAATCTAAATTGTTCACATTTCAGGATCCTGTGAAATATTATATATCGCTAATTTTGTCTAAAGCATTGAATGAAATATTGGTTCACTTGGGGTCTTAAAATGTCAGTGCTGTCTGACTAATATAAACTTTGCTTGTGTGTTCTTTACCATTGTTGGTATGTGCTGCCTTTACCATTACTGGTATTGTTAACCTCCCATTTTGTATTTTTCAGTTTCCTATGGTACTGCTTCCAAGTCCTTAGTTTTTTGGAAATGAAATATTCATCGCTTGAGTCTTATGGCTGGAGTGGCAGACTAGCTAATGTGAAATTTGAATGGGAGATGGGGGTGGGACTAAATCAATTTTCTTCTTTCCTCTCCCTGTCAGGCAAAATTGACTTTTGTTACTAATTTGCTTTTTTTTTTTTTTTTTTTGGTTATTTGTTGGAATATGACTGATTAGAAGAAGCCTAACACTGTCATTCAAGTCATTTCCCCTGTTTTCTCAATTGCTATGCCTTGGTCAAATGTCACAGAAAGGTTTGCTGACTTGTCAACCGGAAGCAGATGTGATGTCAGGTGTAACTCATGATCTGTCCAAATACGGTGTATGTTTTTGTACATTTTGTGAGAGTCAAGTTCGGAATCATTCATGTGTTTAAATGTTGTAGACATTGGCGCAGATGTTCTGGATCTGGCTGAGACCATGGTTGCTTCTGATGGCCTTAAATACGAGCCGGTCAGTCTCACTGCTGGATTTATGTTGTCTGGTTCAAGTGACACTATTGATGCACTTCATGAGAAAGTGGCTTGTTTTTGTCAAAATGGATGAATTCATCTATTATTCGGAACATTTTTCCTGAGCTATAAGACACTAGTAAACGTTAAAGTGCAATTTTGTGCTCGAATTCACATCTCATCCTTTTAAAAGTCAACAATGTGTGTTCTTTTATGTCCCCCCCCCACTCCCACCTCACATTTTAAGGTCAACTTTGAGCTGTCGCCCCAGCAAAAGATATGGCACATGTAAGTTGAGACGATGACATCATTCAGTATCCTACAAGTAGCATAAAGACGGATGACAGCTTTTCATAGGCCACTGGATTTAGTAGTTTTGTTGTTCTTTGACTTAAAGGGTGCTTTACTCATTATTTTTTTTCTTTAGTTTTGGAGCTACAAGCATTTGTTTGGTTGATTTTTCTTGTTTGTATTTTATTTATTTTTGGGCTGAAAAAAATTGTTAAAATAATTTCAATGAGGCACATTTATTTGGTATATGAAAAGCTTGGTCACAGAACAAACATAACCAAAGTGTTTAGTCAGAACTAACTTTTAAAAATGCCTTTTACAGGACTCTTCTTCATATCCAGGAGCGTCTGCGAGTGGAGCACTCACTACAGGACTTGATCTTCAAGACTGCCATGAAAGGATCTCCACCTGCTCAGTCCAGAAGGTGCAGAATCCACCCCCACCCCCCCCCAAAAAATGTCATGTTCATTCCGGGAGGTGTTGTGCAAACTCAGTCAGATTAAGCCAAAGATGAAGATGCACGCATTCTCCCACCCTATTAGAAAAAAATTTACATGAATAAATAAACAAATATTTTTTTCACTATCCAGCCGAAGATGCAGTGGCGCTCCCCCCTCAAAAATGCTCGCGTCACATATGAGTTGGCAGGCAGAGTTGATGGGGCGAAAGCCCAACTGCTCCGTAGCCCACTGAAAAAATACACCAGGAATTGTGATTCCTCTAAAACAGCTGTGAGACATCTTGGAATGTCTTCTCTACACAATTCAAATCTAAAAAAAAGGGGCTTGGGGTTTGTTAACAATTGACATCCCCATATGAAATACATACAATGTTAATTTTAAATTAGATCCTGATTGGACATCAATCAATCAATCAATCAATCTTTTAATTGTACACAACCTCAAATGTTACCAGGAAGTGTTTGCTCTGCATTACAAGTGAAATATATATTGGAAAGAAAGGAAAGCAGGACAGTTAAAGGTGTGATTGTGCGTGTACGTGTGTTGTCCTACAGCGTGGACAGCAGCACATCTCTGAACGCCTGCCGGATTCACGGACATCTGTATGTCAACAAGGTGGCCGGAAACTTCCACATCACTGTTGGAAAGTAGGTATACGTACACACCAGGGACACAACACACACGTACCTGTACTGTACATTCACTGCGCGTGCACACACACACACACACACACACACACACACACACACACACACACACAGCATCATCACATGAATCAACATGGCGACAAGAAGAGAAGAAAAGAGAAGACATGCAGTTTTGCACAAACCGAGTGAAACAAAAAACAATTTGAATTGCAAAATCGTTTTTGATTTATCGAATCGTTACCTTTCGAAATCCTTGAATCACATTGCACCACACGCATTGGGATACATATCAACTTGGGCCCTAATTTCTATATCCTCTTGTTCTTTTTTTTTTTTTTTTTTAATCCACCAGACAGCTTTTTTTCTTTTGTGAAAGGAGGTAAAAAGGAATGTTTTTTTTTTTTGGAAGGTGGGGTAGGAGGGGGAGACTGATGAATGGTATTCCCAGTCCTTCATTTCAATGGGGGGAATTGCTCTGATCAACCGAGTTACAAGTTTGGTCACGGAATGAAGTCAAGGTGCCACTGTGCTGTGTGCCTATGAAATATTGACGAATGTATTTATTTTTGTGTGTGTGTGTGCAGGTCCATCCCTCATCCACGAGGCCATGCCCACCTTGCGGCGCTCGTCAGCCATGACAGTGAGTTGGTTTTCTCCTCCATTATGTCGTCCACCAACTTCTGTTGCCTTTGTCATCGGCTGCAGCTGTAACAAAGCACTTGTACAGAACATTTCATATCAAATAACAAAAATAATACAACAGAACTCATCACATAAATCATGGACAATAATACACTCGTAACAACTATTCCTGCACACACCTTGTCGTTTGAATCAGTTCTAGATGGAGGAGGAGAGAATCAAAATCTCCTTTCACCCCATGGTTCAGAGACGTGTTGTTGTGTTGCAGGTTTCAATTTTTCCCACCGCATCGACCACTTGTCTTTCGGGGAAGACATCCCGGGTGTCATCAGCACCCTTGATGGCACGGAGAAAGTCACCACCGAATGTAAAAGACTGTCAACACCTTTGCCTTCATGACTGCTTTGATTGTCAGCTCTAACTTCACGTGTGTGTGTGTGTGCGTGCGTGTGCGCGTGTGTGTTGTTGCCGTTGGTGATGCCGTCAGCCAATCATATGTTCCAGTACTTCATCACCATCGTGCCCACCAAACTCAACACGTACAAGGTTGCGGCAGACACGCATCAGTACTCGGTCACCGAGAGGGTACGTGGCCTCCGCTTTGCTGCTGGAAGGCGCCACAAGCGCAGCGTCTCATGACCAGCGTCTGCGTGTGTGCTCTCTCTTGTGTGTCTGGGCGTGTTCTCTTGTGCGTGTTTTTGTCCTGCCAAATGTGTATTGTGTTCTTTTGGTGTATGCTTTATGTGTGTGTGTGTGTGTGTGTGTGTGTGTGTGTGTGTGTGTGTGTGTGTGTGTGTGTGTGTGTGTGTGTATGTATGTTCCCATCTGAATGTGTTCTCGTGTTCATTTTCGTGTTTGTTTCTGTTTGAGTTCTCCTGGGTGTTCTTGTGTGTGCATTTATTGCTACTTGTTTTCTTTGTTCTTTTGCGCGCGTTGTCATGGATCTGTGTTGTGCTCTTGCGTGTGTTCACTTCTGTGGGTTTGTGCTCATGTTTGGTTTCCCGTGTGCACGTTCTCGTTGTGGATGTTTGCTGCTGTGCACGTGTTGATTCTTGTGTGTGTATGTGAGTTCTCTCATTGTGTGGGTGTTCCTGTGCGTGTGTGTGTTGCGCGCAGGAACGCGCCATCAACCACGCGGCGGGCAGCCACGGCATCTCGGGGATCTTCATGAAATACGACATCAGCTCTTTGATGGTCAAAGTGAGCGAGCAGCACATGCCGCTCTGGAAGTTTCTGGTGCGCCTGTGCGGCATCGTCGGAGGCATCTTCTCCACCACAGGTACGCCGATCGCTCGCTCGCCGGCATGCATGGAACGGGACGGCTATTTTGTGTCGCTACACTTCCTTGTAGATGGTATGACGTTTTTTTGTGATGATTACAGTAGACCATTTCATAATGTTTGTAAACAAGAGATGCCAGCTGCCTCAGGTGGCAAGATGTGAGTGAGTAGCGCTCGGTTCCATATACAAATATTTTAGAACAATTTTCGATATAATGTATGTAATAAGTCATTTGAATTGACTACATTTCAAACCTCAATCAGAAATCTATGCATTTGCTGTTAGAATTGTGATTGGAAGAAGCATATGTGCAAGCAGAACTTCCAGCTGCACACCGAACGGCCTTTCTGTCTGGTGCCACAGAGGAGAGACAGAGTTTTATTTGTTCTTTTGAGGGGTGTTTACAGCCGACAACCTTTGAGTTCTTCTGTGGTGTAATTAAGATTAAAGTAAAAAAAAAAAAAAAAAGCAAAACTATGTCCATGATTGAGGCACAGAGTCATCGATGGTTAAATAGTATGAGAAGCGCAATCCAGATGAGTCCACTCATCCATACTGAGACAGCTCGCACAGTGAAGCGAATATAACCAGAGGCATATTTTAGACAAAAATGTTGTATTTAACCTGAAAAGTTCGTTAAAGGGGTCATTCGTAACTCGAGGTTCCACTGTAAACATTTAAAACATTTTATCAAACTTTTTTAAAATGAACATATGCTGTACATTTTCCAAAACAATTTTCGTTTAATTTTAAAAATGAGTTAAAATTAACTTTTGTGGGAAGAAAATCTAAACATTTTATAGAGTAACACTATTGTTGAGTGCAACTTGATAAAAACATAAATGGTCCAGTGGGCGAGTGGTTAGCGCATCGACCTCAAAGTGCAGAGGTGCAGGGTTCAATTCCAACTATGGCCTTCCTGTGTGGAGTTTGCATGTTCTCCCCGTGCATGCGTGGGTTTTCTCCGGGTACTCCGGTTTCCTCCCACATTCCAAAAACATGCATGGCAGGCTCATTGAACACTCAAAATTGTCCCGAGGTGTGAGTGTGGATGGTTGTTTGTCTCTGTGTGCCCTGCGGTTGGCTGGCAACCGGTTCAGGGTGTCCCCCGGCTACTGCCAGATGACGGCTGGGATAGGTTCCAGCACCCCCGCAACCCTATGAGGATAAAGCGGATCGGAAAACGGATGGATTGATGGATGGACATTAAAGGTCCTTTTCACGCATGTTGTTTTATGCTGAAACTTGCTTTTGAGAGCCACATTTAATTAAAGAATCCAATGACATGGAAATTGGTCACTTCTATTTCTGCACGTGTGCGACAGGCATGCTGCATAACATGATGGGCTTCTTTGTGGATGTGGTCTGCTGTCGCTTCCAAATGGGAATCTACAAACCTCTCAAGGTGACCATCTCAATCGCAATACAGAAGTAGTTTTTTCTTTTTCATTTTAGCTTCATTTTCACTTGTTTTCGTCATTCCAGGAGGATCCTGTGAAAATGCAACAAGCAAATGAGCATGCGGCGCCCCCTGCTCACACCCATTTGACTCAGCCAATTAGCTGAGATAACTTCGGGCCAGTTTGTGTATGGAAAGCCATTGATCATTGATCATTTTCATTCCCAATTCTGCCGACTAGTCGGGTATGAAATAAATGCTCTAGCAGGTTTTCAGCCGTTTCTCACTAGTACACTGAGTTATCCTACTAGTGAGGCCAAAGAGCGAACTTGTACATGGGCCTTAAGCTGAACAGCAAGGATGTCTAATAAATGCTCAAACGGCTTTCCATAACTGTCCCTTTTATCCAAAACAAAGAAAAGACAAACTTTTTTAATTACTTCATGTACCAGCTAGTACAATAACATTCTTCAAATAAACTTGAAACTGTAATGAGACAAACACACACACACACACACACACACAAACAAAAAGGTGCCTATGTGTAAATGTTTATTAAATAAAATCTCTCCACTCGATTAGTCCTCTCTTCTGTGTAGGATCACGTCCAAGCGTCTCTTTTAGACCATGTCAAGAGTTTATTTGACAGTATTTCAGAATATCTTTCGGTAAACAAGTTTTATTCATGTTTTTTTTTCTTAGCAAAATGTAATATATCCGTACGGTCGCATTTTCATAAAAATAGTTGTTCACGTCTTTAAAACTACAGTATCAATGATACAGTAAACCATATTTGTAGGAATACAGCTGTACAAGGTGAATAAGTACTCGGTTAACACTACACAGGTATACTTGATGGGATCATGAACGTGCCATTGTTCTTCACATAGAGAGGTGGCTTTTTTTTTTTTCTTCATTTGCTGTATACAAAATGACTCACAATATACAGGGTGGGCGTGTGCCAGCGGAAATGGAGGACATATTCGGACCTTTTACTCCATCACACTCATCCAACTTTGCTTCAAATAAGACGAGTGGCAATCAGGCTGGATGTTGAAAGTCTTGGACAATGCATGTAGTCAGTGTGTGACATTCACTTGCATGTTACACGACTCCAACTGACATACAGGGTCATCGCTGTTGGGCGGGAGCCACAAATCGACACTATTTTTGTCAAGCAAAAACAGTTGTGCCTTGAGATGTGAACTGCATGAACTATTTTTTGAACTGGTTTTTATTTGTGAGGACAAAAAAATTGAGATGCACCGTATCGTAGTAGTGAATTCGTAGCATCTCAAATTACAAGCATCACAGTTAAAGATTCTTCAAAAATGGTCACTCCCAGTTAGTTTTCCGTCAAGCTGTGCATTAAAGACACGTGAATTTAAAACCACATGACTGCCTTCCACTAGCTTAATGCTAACACAATGCAAAATGCCATAGACAGAGTAACACACAGAATCTTTTTTTTTTCAGTGTTGTCATGCTTTTAACAACCAATATTTGAACGCCAACAGTCCAGCAACACATGGAAAGAAAATATAACAATACTCACACACATATTTTCTTCACCCTTTAAGATTGGCTTATGTTACTGCAGCTTACTGAGTCACTTAAAGTTGTGTTGGGTTGTGTCTGCATGACTGCATTGTGATGAACCCTGGTGGCTAAGTGGTGATTACTATACGAGTTCCTAGTTCCTAATACTATTTTCATGATCCAAATGTTAGTTTTTGGGGGGAAGGCTGGAACGGATAAATGGCATTTCCATTCATTTCAGTGGGTCATAATGATTTGGGGTAGGAGTTTGAGTTACGATCTTGGTCACACAACAAAACTCGTATCTCAAGGCACCACTGTATAAATGGATCTAAAGCATTAATAATACCTTGCTTTCTTTAACTATGAAATGTTAGTAACAAAAATAATGGCTGCTTTTTTTTTTTTTTAATGTTTCCTGAAAAATTGTTTAGACGGTTCCGCCCGACAGCGATGATGTAGGAATATAGACTGATCCTAAATTTCCTTGACCAGGTTCACAAATAAATTTAGGATAGGGAAACAGGGTTACGGTTAAATATTATGGTTTTATAAATGACACAAACTGGCAGTGGAACCCTCATCGGTTCCTGCATCTTGTTTCGCCATTGCTAATGCTACTTTGTGTCCTAATGGTTACTTTTACCCTTTGTCAAAAGAGCATTTGAATGGCATGAAGTTTTCTCGCCATCAAAACTCCACATGTGAACAGACACCTTTTGAAGGAGGGGACAAGACTGCAAACTGGATTTCTCTGCTTTTTAGCTGCTACAAAATGCTGCCGCACACTAAAGCATGAGGAAGAACAAAGGTGAAGAAAAATTCAGTGGAACCTCCTAGGTCCAACACAATTAGATGTGGTTGGCAATTCCAATTACATTTTTGACCAAAAATGAAAATGGACGAAGTCGAAGGCTCCCTCTAGTGGCATGAGAATAAATTACTGCCCTAGAACACCTCCGTTATTCAAACCCAATTCCAAGTTGGGCTGTTGTGCTAAACATAAATTAAAAACAGAATACAATGATCTGCAAATCATGTTCAACTTATATTTAACTAAATACACTATAAAGATTTATTGTTCAAATTGACAACCTTTTAATGTTTTGAGCAAATAATCATCAACTTGAGAATTTTATGGCTGTAACATGTATATTTGGCGCTACATCCGTAAGTGCAACTTAAAATTCTATTATGCAAAGCAAAAACCAATTATCAAGAACGTCCAGAAACACCACTGCTTCTGTGGGTCAGAGCTCATCTAAGACGGACTGGGGCGATGTGGAAAAGTGTTCTGTGATTTGATGAGTCCACATTTCAAATAGTTTTTTTTTTTTTGGTTTTGTTTTGGGAAATTGTGGTCATCTTGTCCTCCAGGCCAAAGAGGAAAAGTACCATCCACACTGTTATGGACACAACTTTCAAAAGCCAGCATCTGTGATGGTCTGGGGCTGTTTTCGTGCCAAAGGCATACGTGTAATTTACAGGTCTCTAAAGACACCATTCATGTTGAAAGGTACATACAGAGTTTGAGAAACATGCTGCCACCGTCTTTTTCATGGCCGCCCCTGCTTATATCAGCATGACAATGCCAAACCACATTCTGCACGTTACAACTGCATCGCTTCGTAGCAGAAGAGTGCGGGTACTCGAGTGCCTGCAGTCCAGACCTGCGTCCCATTGAAAATGTGTAGTGCTTTATGAAGCATAAAATACAAACAACGGAGACCCTGGACAGTTGAACAGCTGAAACTGTACATCAAGCAAGAATGGGAAAGAATTCCAACATACTAAATGTGAACAATTAGTGTCCTCAGTTCAAATGTTTCTTGAATGGTGTGAAAAGAAAGGGTGATGTAACACAGTGGTTAGCGGCTTTTTCGGCAAGTATTGCAGCTATAAAATTCGAAGGTAATTGCTTATTTGCTAAAAACAAGAAAGCTGATCAGTTTGAACATTAAATGTCTTGTCTTTGGAATGTATTCAATTAAATATAGGTTGAACATGATTTGCAAACCATTGTCTTCTGTTTTTATTTATATTCAACACAACATCCCACCTTCATCGGAATTGGGTTTGTGTTTGACTTTTTTGTACAAGAAATCTGCATTTTATCTTTAAGAATTTTTGTTTGTGAATTAACTCAATCCAGGTTTGTTTTTATTGAACTTTTATGTGCATTACATTTGAACCGACTCCTTATTTCAGTGCAGTTTTTCATTTTCAAATTCCCTGCTGCGTTTTCTTGTCGCTGATATGTTCCAAAAACAAAGAAACAAGCAAAAAAAGCAAGAAAAAAACAAAACCGACACCAATGGTTAATCCTTTGACTCGCTGACGTGTCCCACCTTGGAGGTTCTTGTGTAGAACGGTTTTGTATCATACATGGGGTGCAAAAGTATTTTGAAAAAATATTTCTTTTCAGATAACCATACCAGTGTTAGTGTATTGATCGAGTTCTATCTTGAATGCAGTTTGTGTTTTTTTTCCAAGCATTGTGCCAAGTTATCACACTTGGTATAGGATAAAGTATAATGGATAGTAAGGATTCATTTGTACTTTTTTTACTCTTACTCTTCAGGAGTTGACTCAGCACTTCTACTTTTACCTTTCCTTTTTTTTGTGTGTGTGTGTGTGTACTTCTACTGAACTGCAGAGACTGAGTACTTTTGCCACCTCTGGTCATAATTTGTATGTTATAATTGTGACATCATAAAACTGTTGTTGTCTCCCCCCCAGTAAAAAATATTGACCTACTTTTGCATCTCCAGTTCTCTGATTATGATCAGCAGCAATGTCATCACCAGGCCGATATGTGTGCGTGCATACTCGTGCCGTGCCACTCGTCCCCAATTGCTCTGCGTGGGTTTTGAGTAAGGCACTCCGCCCCTTCCTCATCCTCATATTGATCCCTCTCTCCCACAGTGATGTGGTACACGTAGCACGGTTCAAAGGCCTTTCGAAATCAGGACAGAGGAAAAGTCGTTGGAGCACTTATTTCATATTGTTGATATCCACCTTAAGGTCAGCGTACAAGCACACTCTTTGTCCTCATGTGTAAAACAATTCTGAGAAGGAGTAGAACCGGGGTAGTACACTTGTAGAAATACTGTGTCTCATTAGTTATGTTTTTCCACTACTTGTGACACTTGTATGACCTCAAGCATTAAGGATAACTAGGGTATTGATTAAAATGCTCAAACTATATGCTCCTAATATTCAATTACACACGACTATTACAAAATGTACTAGTTCACATGTTGTGCTTCGCTCGTTGTGCACAGATGTCAACTGTGCACAGTTGTCTTTCTAGCAACATGTTACTGTCCTACTAGTCGGCCAAAGTTGTCATACTAGTGTGCAGAGAGCTCATACATATTGTACAATACTAGAGCTGAACTGTCTTACAAATGAGGATTAAGATCGAACTAGTACATGGACCTTAAACTGGAAATTAAGGACATTGAGTAAGTGCTCTTTATGGCTTTAAAAGACGACTTTAAAACCATTACATATTCAATATCCTTGACAGGGAGACGACGAGAGCATGACACATGCCCAATACTACTAGTCTTCCCTGGTAGTGTTATTAGTGAGATTTAATTGGGTGCTAGTAGGCCAAAATTGACACTAGTAGCGGGGGGGACATTACTCGCAAGACACTAACTTGCCTTACCTTACGAGCAAAGACAAAGAGCATACTAGTACATGGACCTTAGGCTGTATATGAAAGATATGGTACCAAGAAAAAAAAGAAAAAAAGATTTGGATTTTCCCAATGGACGTTCCATGAGTGTGACAAAGCTCTGCACAACGGTTAACATATGCTTGTGTACGAAACTCAGTGTAGTAGTGTGACTTCTTACCAAGCCTGCTGTCACAAATGTAAAAAAACACAACCAACAACAAAAAAAATGGAGATCAAAGTGGTCCTTGTTCACGGTTTGGGAGTCCCATGCACAGGTTGCCATTTTGACGATGTGTCTTTGATATGTAGTCATAACTGAGGCCCAGGATAGGATGATAAATAATTCCATCCTGGTGTTTTGTTTTTTTCTCTTCCTCTTCTTCTGCTTCTTTACAACAAGAAATGTACACATTGACATCTTTACATTTACAGTATATTTGTTAGGCATGTGAGGAGTAACACTGGAAGGACTTCTAGAACAGTGATTCCCAACCACCGTAACAATGCAACTTCACCGAATTGGTCTGAAATTAAAATGTTCCCTGCATATTCACCTGATCCAGCCATGATTTATTTAGTTGTTTATTTTTGAATCAAGGTCACACATCGAAAACTAAAATTTGCTGTTTTGTGCTGGACTAATGTAAAAAAAGTGGTGTGGCACCATTGGGTGTCATGTTGGTGCCAAGGAACTATGTTAAGGTGAGAGCAAGAGCTCCCATTGTACATAAAAAGGTGGTGCTTTACCGTCATCTAGTGGCACCTGCGGGTAATTCTGAATATTTTTGGGATAGTTTAAGTACCGTAGCTTTTTGCTGTTCTTGTATTGAGAAAAATATACTGTATCTTTATTCTTCTGTCCATGCACAGTACTGCACAGTGACAAGTAGAACAATTAAATGCTCTTCCACTAGATTGCAGCAGATGCAAAATTAGCCCAAGTATGCTTTTGGTGACTTTTTTTTTTTCTTTTCCAGAAAAAGATGAGTTTAAATATTTAAGTGTTTTGGGATCCAGGTGTGTCGTATAGTTACAGTTTGAACTTTTGATGTAGCCAAAACATTTTTGATGGGGAGTCAGTTACTCTTTGCAGCAGAGCTCTGTCCTTGTCTCATGGATATTGTCAACCGAGGATGGGAACCACTGCTCTACAAGTTTCTCTGTCTTCAACGAGAACAAAATGAAGTCTTTTGGTGCACATCATCGGGCTCTTCACTCTATGTTACAACATGTGTGAGAGTTGATCAGCCTTTTAAGGTGGCGGGTGTAATAATCCTCCAGTAAAGCAACATCTGATTATGATTTGTGGAGTGGATGAAAGGGGACAAACGGCAGTGGGTTGGGGGCTGACAGAAAGCCGATCTCGTCTACCTGCTGACAGTGGAGGTCCAGGACCTCAGGGTGCCGGGCAGTTTATCCGGCCCGGGGATGTTCCAGGGCCCCGGGGAGTTGGCGGCGACTCTCCTGGCGGCAGGCTCCTCGGCCCTCTTAGCGTGGCCCCCGGAGCGCTCCTCCTCTCTGGGGTAAACGCCTCTGGACAGCAGCCTCTCCTGGAGGCTGACGTGGGTGTCTCTGCCGGCCAGAGAGGCCCCGTTGGGAGTGACGCTCACGTAAGGGTCCCACGGCCAGAGAGCGCCCGCCCCCTTTCGGTCACAGCAGGGGGAGCAAGCGTCCCTCTGCCTCCCCAGGACGGCTTTAGCAGGCAAAACTCGAGGCTGCCCGGTGCCCGGCCCACACTCGGCCTCTCCTCCTTGCCCTCTGATCATGCACTTCTGCTGGGTGGACCTGCCACCTGCGGCCCCTCGAGCCGAGGCGCCGTGGTCCGTCACCGGTGGAGCTTTGTCCGCCGCCATGCACGTTGCGGCCTCTAGAAGGAGCTGATGAGGGGAATCCAGGGATGCGGCCGGATGGGATGGAGGCAATGGACTCTGGTGGGCTTCGAGGGTCACTTCCGGCAGGGTAGAGTGGATTGTAGAAAGGGGATCCCAGGGGCCGACACAGTCTGTTGAAGACGAGGAAGTATTGGTGGGACAGTCACAGAGATGGATACCGCAACGCAATATACAGGCATGTCCGAATTTAGAGTTGCACACCTTCACTGTAGTGCCACGCGACATGCTGGTCAGCACTGAGACTTATTGGACGACATGCAGCAGAATTAAATCATTCACTGCCATTTATATTTGTGAACTGGAAAGCAACTTGTTACTGGCGCTGACGTATGTATACATTTATTAAATAGGTTTTTCATCAAGTAGGCGAGGAAGTGTTTCAGGTTTGTAAACTACTGTAATGACCAAGAGACGCCTGTAAGTGGTGCCGTTGCATCACTTTGGATTTGAGATCAGAACAGCTGATGAAGAAGAATACTGTAGAAAGATTTGGGTGTAAATCTCTGCTTGTCACGATTATGAATGCCAACACCTTTAAACAAGTTTAGGCACCTGATACTCAAACTGAGTATGCGTCGCCATATGTGGTCGAAAGCCCTTTCTCAGCCTTTTTTTTTGTGTGTGTGACAGTTTGATGTGTAACAACAGCAAAACATAGTACAGTTAACTTGACATGTTTTTTTTACGGTAATAAAAATCTCATTTTCTCAGCTTTTTGGTCAGAAGCTGGTGTTTTTATTGAAACCATCCTATGTTCAACTGCTAGAGTAATAAAGAATTGACAAAAGTAGACACAAACTATTGTTTCTCCTGGCGGAAATATTCTACGGGTCCTGAAAGATCAGTCAACATGCTTTCAACTCCTGGAAAAATTGGGAACTCTGCTTTGAAAGTGGCTGGCAGTGAAGCAAACAAGCAAGTAAAACAGGCAGAAAAGGTCCTGTAGTAATTAATAAAATTAAACTCCTGTAATGGTGTAAAACCATTTGTAAAGAGCAGTTGTGTTCAAGTTTCAGATTATGGTCATATCTATCTTACTGTTAGAATTAAGCCACTAGACATAATTATAATCATTAGCCAAAATTATATGGTTTGGTTTAACCTTTTGGTGTTTAAACATGTGGTTCATTCTCTTTTGCAGTGTCAGTGTTACTGTAAACTTGATCTGGGAGTAAAAAAAAATAAACAGCTCAACACATGCGCCCCTTAATTGAAGAATTGTGCCAGCAAGTGGGAATTGGCACTAAGGGATACTTAAAAAAGTCTATTTTAATAGGTTTTAATTTTAAAGTGTGTGGGAGGGGTAAAACTATTCCGCGCTCTCTATATCGCAACTTTTCACCGATAAGAGCGCACGTCATTGTCCATGCATTACCACATGATCATGCCAACACACACACACACACACACACACACACACACACACACACACACACACACACACACACACACACACAGCATCATCTCATGAATCAACATGGCGACAAGAAGAGAAGAAAAGAGAAGACATGCAGTTTTGCACAAACCGTGTCTTTAGAGTGGCCCATTAGGAAGAAATAAGGGGAGCTTAGTGTGTCACCTTTCATGCACATGGACAGGTTGGAAGGTACCATTCCTGAGGGAAGGCAAGTAAAAGCCTATAGGCCAATCGTTTGACTTCAAGCGTAAACATGTTACAGAGAGACACAATTAATGACTGACAGTAGAAGGCCACAGAGCTATACATATGAAGAGTAACATATGGTTAATATGCTTGTTAATGTGCTCCGGACTAAAAAGCCCCTTTGGATATACACTACTCACAAGGTTAGGGGTGGCCATTTTTCAGTGGCCTTCCTTTGACCTTCCGCAAACTTTTGCGTACAATTTTTCCCTATCAAGGAGCTGACTGGCAAAATTCACAGCAGGTGAATTCAATCCACAAACAGTTCCACTTCTACGCCTTTCTGTGACTCTGCCAGTCTCTATCTCCAATGTAACTTGCTGATGGCAATCCTGGCGCGAGGCGTCAAAGGATGTACTATACGTGTTGGTGCTCCATGTGTTAAATAAGCAGCACTTGTGCCAAGGTTAACATTTTAAATTGATGCTAACCCTTCAGTTAGCAGCTCTATCATGTTTCACGTGTATGTTAGCATTTAGCTATCAGACTTTCATTCAATGAAATATGGTTTGGTTGAACATTTTACCGATTAAATGTAAGATACTGCAAGGCTTCAAACACGGTTTTTTCAAAGGGAAATGGTCACTGAGGATAGTGTGTCATCAGCAGGTTGCAATTGGAAGGGAGAGACTGGTGGAGTCACAGAAAGTCATAAAAGTAGCGCATTGGTCAGTTCACGGATTAAACAGATGATTTTTGCCATTGAGAACCTGGTTAGAGAAGAGCGAGTTGTTCAAATGTACTGAAACAGTGAACCATGTCAAACGTTTTGATAAGGTCAAACTCAATTCACCTGTAAAGGTTCGAGTGCATTTTAGGTTCTTGATGAAATTGCCAAAAGAGCCGACATCCCTAACCTGTTGCGAGTAGTCTATAAGTGAGTAAGCCTCATGAGTAAGACAGAAAGGGATGATTTGAAACATGACCCACCGTATTCCGGCACCTGCCCTGTGCCTCTCTTCAGCAGCAGTCGGACCCTCCGGCCCCCCGCCTTGATAAGTTCGATGGCCCGAGCGTGAGTCATGTCGCGAGTGCTGTCCCCGTTAATCTCTATGATTTGATCCCCCACCTGAGGACAACATAGACACACACACAGACACACACGGACGGAGATAACCTTGGTCATTCTGTACATACGCATGGCAAGGTGTCACTTTATTTGCAGCGACTTCATTTCACCATGAAATAATACACAAGCATTGGCCACTGTTGACATCCAACAATACAATTTCTCTCTTTTTTTTTTTTTTTTTTTTTTAACATTGTCATGAAGAATGACCATCAGACACTTCATTAGGAACACCTGCATATTTTTAATAGCTGATCAAATAGCGAATCCTAAAAATTATGAAAAGGCTATAGCTCAGGGATGGACAACTTTAAATGCCGGGGGGG